TGAAATTAAGATTCTATATTCAAACATATTTCGTGTATTTGCAACTAAATCTGGAGACTTGTAAACAAAATGACGTCACAACTCGCGCTAAAATTTTTTGAATTTCTAGAGAAATGCGTTTTTGGAACAAATTTAACCGTGATATTCTTATTAATGCCAATAAACTACACATTTTTAACACTAAAATTTTTTCGTGTCATATACACTTTAAGAGCACCGAAACTACAAAATATGACAAATCAATGTCTCTCTTTGTCTTTTTGTCGAAAATAGCCATGTATTATTGTAAAAGGATTGACTAGCCTTCATTCGCGCAATCATATATTCTGCAAATAAATATTATCTTATTAATCTTAATTTTTTTCTAATCACTTCCGGTGGCGCAATTTTTACTCCAAAAGCTCGTGCGTAGGCTTCCATTAAATGCTGATTATCTCGAAAACTAGCTCGGGACACCTTGTTTTTCTTTCCAGATTTGGAATCAGCATTAAATTTCAATTCGGAAAATCGAAGTTTTAAAAAAAGCTTAAATCAATTTCCAAAAGTAGGCAGTCACCTTAAAGAAGAAATACTTTAATTTTTTTTTAGTTTTTGGAGCAGGATAATAACTTTTTGAAAGAACACAATAGCTCACTTCAGATAAAATCTTTTCTTGAAGGGTTTTATATATTGCCTTAATGCTGCGTTCATAATGTATGGCGGGGGGGGGGGGGGGGGGGGGGGGGCAGGTGAAATCTTTAAAACTATCCCCCCCTGAGCAATCTCATGCAGCTTTTTCTAGAAATTATGCATCCCCCCAGATTCTCTGAAAAAAAATTCAAACCTGGGCTGGACCCCCTCATGCTTGACTGCTACCTACCACGTTTGGAACGCTGTCGCATAAACATGTTTTATCCGATTGCAAATTATTTTTGCACATAAGTCACATAAAGATTGAATTAATGTTTGATGCAGTTTTTAATGAGATCGGACCTCATGACACGTAATTATGATGAAATATTTGTTTTCATTAGAGAACAATTTTAGCCTTGCAGAGCGTTCAACACTAAAATGCTTTGTGCCACATAAATATATACTAGATGCCTCCATTTGTAGGGATTTTTGAAAAAATCTATCTAGCTAATTATGAGATATTTGAGATTATTTAAATATAGTGCATAATCTACTTCAAAACTAAACAATRGATTTSATACGGCCGAAATTAATATTTCAGAGCTATATATTCACAAAAGTCATTGCTCATTTAGTTTTACTCTGTGTCTAGTTTTAAAAGGAACATTTTGAAGGTAATCGACTTATGTGATTTTGTGAAAACGTATAATGCACAATACTGGGTAAACATTTATGCACACTTTTCATTGCAGTTTTCTAGTCAATCTTACTAGATCTTCTATTATTCTAAAATGTGCTGATAATTTCTCTCAAAACTACATCAGGATACAAATGAGAACTTAAACTAATATTACACAAAATTGCAAGACAATTGAACTCACTTAAAGCGATCTAAAGTGAACATGAAATACAGAAAACATTGATCGTTTCCCAACAATTTGATGCTCTGGTAATTCTATTGTTTGCTAATGATCATAACATCAAATTCTAAAGAAAAGCAGCCAAGCAAGATGATACTGTGCATGGTGTGAAACATTTGATGTTATGATGATAACATCAAATTCTTTCACACCATATATGGTCTCATCTCGGTTGGCTGCTTTCCAGGCGAGATGAGACCGTGCATGGTGCGAAAGAATTTGAAGTTATTATCATAACAAACAAAAACAATTATTTCATCGTAATCACACATTATGACGTCCTATCTCATTAAAAACTGCATCAAACATTAATTCAATCTTTATGTGACTTATGTGAAAAAAAGATTTGCAATCGGATAAAACACGTTTATGCACCAGCGTTCCAAACGTGGAAGGTAGCAGTCAAGCATGAGGGGGTCCAGCCACCTTGACCCTATGGTTTCTAGTGGTTTCTTATCACACTGCAAGAAAATGTCACGTTTTAATGTCTGTGTCTGCGATATTTATGAAAGCGCTCACACATCTCGGAAACCATCTATTGTTGGGTTTCACTTGACATCATTTCTCAGAAAATGCCCATGGGAACAACTGACTCTTGCCACCGTAGCCTAGCTACCATGGCTGGCTTGCTCACCCCACACCTCTCTGCATCACATGCAAGAAGAGTTTCAGTCCATACATGGTTTTGGGGTTTGATACAATCAACAGGCATAAACAACCTTTCTATTATCTCAGAAATAAAAAATACTACTAGAAGGGTAAATCTAGTGTTATAAATAGGCTGGCTTGCTGGAAAAACACTATCATGGTCATGTGATTTATCACAACCAATAAGAATAAAGGACATGTTGTAAATGAATTATATATTGTAGAGGTCACTTTGCCACCAGCTACACAAAATTGACAGGAAATATTTAGTAATTAAGCTCATAATGTTGACATCTTGAACATTCTGTAAGATATAAAGCCGTAATTTCAAATGACGGTAACATTTATAGCTATCAATGCAGATGAGAAAGTTGACCAAAACCCTCAATTATAAAATTCATTTCCTAGAAAGCTGACACCCCCACTCAAAAGTACAAATATTTTAGTACAAAGTTGTATAGGTACTGGATCTTGTGATCCCAGTTATTGAAGCTTCCAATTTCAGTTTAAATTTTGGGTTTTGGATAATACGACAACGTCGAACCTATAAATAATAGTGGATGTACATAAATCGTTGGGGTAAAAATGAACAGACATCAAGAGATATTCCATGAGTTTGTCAAATGTCAGACGTGACACACAAGGACGACAAGCTACTGTACCTAAAGAAATTCTCATACAATTTACATAATTCACTGTGAGCTTGTATTTGAATGTTTATTTACCTCTTTCAGCTCCTTTTCGATCTCGGAGGCTCGAATAACGATAGCACCTCTAACAGCATACTCTATTTGCTTGACAAATGGATTCATAGAGCCTCCAGTAAGCACTTTAGACGACTCGAGGCGGCCATTGCCATTCGTAACTGAGAAGAATCGAGGGAAGGCGGACGACATTAGCAAAGTTCGCTTGGATAAAACACGGCTAACTCGTGTGACATTCATATTTAGTTTGGGTTTGTGCCCGAAAGGTTTGCTTGTCTACTAATCCAACAAAATTTGGGTTCTTTTAACGTGTAATACCTGAAGACATAACCTTGTGCTGAACTCACATGGGGAGACTGTGCGTTCGTAGGCAGTCGAGCTTGTAAAATACGAAGAAAACCAAAACCCTACCCAGGGTTCCCTAAAATCCCAATTCCGTATCTTCAATGTACAATCTTAACAATATGCAATAGCTGCAAATTTTACTTCCAAAAGCTTGAAAGTTTGTTCTAACGCTTAACAGTTTACATATATATTTAAAGTTAAGCTTTTTTATTTCTTATATCGTTGTCGCATATTTTACTTACCCTCATCTCCCTAAGTATAATTTTCATTTCTCAGCATCCGAATATTAGCCGAACAATACCCGAAGAAGAAGTTGATATTTGGAGTTACCGAAGTTTGTTAGAGTTGTCAAATCTGTAGGGGCCGGTAGCGAATGTAATATAATAGGCACCGTTAAAAACTTAATATTTTGGCTAAAGTTTTAGAAAAATAGTATATGATGGTAATGAATATCAATAGAAAAATATTTGCAAGTTTGTGATTACCGATTTGGATAATTATAACTAATAATTTACATATACGCCACATAGACGCGTTCCACATCGTACTGCTGATGGAGACAAATATCACGACTTTCTTTCACAAAATATTTACATCAAAATACAGAGTATTTGGGGCTAGAGATTTGTTTGTTTTTCTTACTAGAGAAGAACCAGATCGCTCTTCACATTAGAAGTATATTCTATATTTAGGTCTATCATGCAGAAACTTTAGTGACATAATATAAAATTTCCTAAAACGATCTAGGAGGTAGTTATCGTAATAAATAATAACAAAATAGCCCATACCATCCATATTAATCCAACTGTCGCTGTAAATCAGGATATACTTCAGTAAAATGTACTGTTGAAAGATAAATTATCGCTAGATTCGTAGTGACGTTCGTGATCTAAGTTCTGTTATGAAATGACACGTGACATATGTAAAATGATAAATAATGCCTGAATAAGGAAGTTGCGTCATGTCGAGTGTGGGGGTGTGTCATGATTTTTATTGGTCCCCCTCTGGGGCTGGGTGGGGAGCATGGATTTATTTACTGTTTAGTTAAGAATTCCAAGATGCATGAACTATGAAGATCAAAGCCATGGGCTAAACTTGAAAAACCGGTAAGACAAGGAAGTGAGTTTCTTGTGCACCCGGGTGAAGTGATAAAGGTAAAAAACATTACTGACTGAATATTGACCACTTGCAATGAAGGTCTCATTACAGGGGTATTTAAATTAGGGACGCTTTATATGATACTTATGCTGGTTTACAACGATTCCAAGGTGAATTAATAAACATTATTTAACTGACTGAAGATTGACCACCTGCAATGAAGGTGTCATTACAGGGATGTTTTTAAATATTAGGGACGCTCTATAGTACTTATGCTGGTTTTCAATGAGAATGAATTTACAAAAGATGCGGCGGTCATGTTGAATGACATGGCACTGAATAGATAACTGAATGACAAATTCTTGCTTCAATTCAACCAAGATGGCGGCTTTCAAAACCCGCAATATTTTGTCTTTTTGGCGAGATAGAAATAATTGTCGTGTTAATTTTCAAATTCTTTCTTTCTTTTCTTGTTGCAATCACTCAAAAACAGCCCCAGGCCACGCTATAATCTAATAGCGCAGCCCAACCGTGACGTCATAAAAACGAAGACAAAGGCGAAATTCGGACAAACAAAGTTACAAGTTTACTTTCAGCAGATAATTTTCACAGCCGATCGCAGTTGATCTTAGTTTACATGGGTTATTATTGTAACTTTAAGTAAAAATAATAAAATCGGTTCGTATAATCCTCGTAGCGGTTAAACAGAATGCAATGTTTGTCTGAATATTTAATCTATTTTTAGAATCAGTGCGCTGCGCTATTACAAGTTCAGAGGGGTAATAATATTAATTTTCAATCACATAGTCGCTTTATTGCACTGACTGTAATGTACAAGTGAGACCGGAAATACGTCAGAATAAAACCTTATTCTTGGCATGTGGAGGTGGGTAATAAAACAGACCCGCCCCTCCCCTCCCTCCCCTAGGAAAAATATCAGCCGTACCCGCGACACTGTTACTTCAAACTTGTAAGTACCCCTTTGGCAGACAAGAAGTCAACGGCATGACACCCGCCCCTCTCTTCCCCTATAGGAAAAATATTAACTGTACTTCGTTGGGTGAACACAGTTTGTTCGTACGTCAGTTTGTACCTGTTTTGCAGTCAGCACGCAGACAAAAATTTACCAAATTGAGTTAACGTTTACAACTGACTCACGCAGAGCCTGTTCTTATTTCCTATACTCTTGAAGCCGTTCATTTTCTGAAAAACTTTCTGACTTTCTGACTTTTGGCCTTGATGGCAAGTTTGTAGAATTCTCTATCTCTTATATATACCTAATATTTTATTTACATAAACATAAGTATGGTTGTCGAGTAATTTGAAATGAATTAAAAAACCCAGTTGTCTGCCATGGGAGACTTGAAGATCATGATAAAGAATTTTAATCTAAAGCGCTTATAGGTTGATGTGTAATTAGTCATTAGACTATGGTCGCGAGGCGCAGAAAAACGTGCACGTGATCGCGGTGAACGAAACGGGCGCAATTATAGGGACTTTCCAACGAAAGTATAGTTAAACATCAAAATTACTTAGAAACATTAGCCGTAACAGCTTGATATAGTATTTCATGTGCAATTTCAGAGTGTCATTCAACTTATTTACTTCAAAGCAAGTTTGAACCTACTTTTAGGCAAAAATCTTCCAGCTTTTGTGCAAAAAATAGGTGGACGACAAAACCGACAGAAATTCAAACTCGATCAGTTACTGCGTATTTTCTATAGCAAAATAATTTAATATTTCTGTCAAACATTTATATTCAGCTTGACGCTAAACTTAATTTTAAATAGTACTGCATTTGATTAAGCGAAAAAAAATTTAATTAAGTATCGAACGTTATAATTTCAAGCTTAGCATATTTTYCCCCTTTTTTCCCCGAGCGCATATATTAAGTAAATTGCTAGGAGTGTACTTAGTAAGACTCAATGTCTATTGGAGAATTAAAAATGGAAGATCTGATGAATTGAAGTTCGTTTTCGTCGAATTAGAATAAATACTATTTATTTTCTTTCTGCATTTCTGACAGCTGTAGGTTTGTGATGCGTACTAGTTGGCAGCGGAAGCGCTTTAGCCACTTGGATTCCAACCATCATTATCAGCTTGCGTTTCAAGAGACGAGAACTGCATTAAACAGCCCATTTAGTGCGTTTTCGCCCGAATTGACACCACATTCAGCTTGTCTCGTTTGTCAGTTCGATTCAGTTTTACTTCGGATACTAATGATAGGTAGTGAATGGTCCATAGACCGATGACTCTTCTAATATTGACTTTTTAAACCGTTTTCAAAATTCACTCCTTCAATCAGTCCCAGTTTTGAAGACCCATAATTAATTATTGTTTTAAAACGCAAAGAAAAACCCTAGTAAGTAAGTTTGTAGTCACACTGATATTTCGGAGGTTAGTCCTAAATCGGAGAAAAAATAAAAAAGGTTTTTAAAATAAATTTTGCTGACTTTGCCGCAAACCTGATTCATAAATAGCACGCACTAAAAACGGTGTTGCTACTCAACGCCATTAAGTGTATGAGTGTTCATACTTCCTAGACGCTAGATGCAGATATGAAGACTGAATTTGTTGTTCCCCGCGAGCCAAAAAACTCCATCCACGACTCAATGACCATTTTTCTCCTTCTCCATTCCTCTTGGATCTTAAGATGACACTTTGCGCACGTGATTTCACTCCTTTGATCTTCAGCCAAATGTCCCAGCGCATTTTGAAACTTTTCGGAATCTTTTCCATTCTCAGAGTCGTGGATAATTGTCTTTGAATTTTCCTCGAAACATTGACAAAACTGTTTTATTCGTGGCTTCACCGTTGCACAAACATCAGCGCGACGTCGAATTGCAGAATCCTCTTCCGAGTCTCTGGAATTTTTGTACATGTCTCCTAACTGCTTTCTTCTCGTACTAAACGAATTATTATTTATTGCAGAAGCCTCCATTTCTTCTTTATTCATTTCGCATTCGATTTCCGTACTTTTCTCAGGCTTTGCTGAGTTTGTTTTTAACTGCTCGAAGCTACTCACTTCCTCAAAAGGGAGCGGCGCACGAAAATCCAAAGTTGTCTTAGAGTCGCGCGATTTGGACTCATCTTGTAGACTTGTTGACCGCTTAAACTTTGGTTTCAGTCGAAGTTTTTCAGTCCTAACATCGTCAGTCGTACTGAAGTACCTTGAATAACAGTTCATCGTTATGTTTTCCGCAGGTCTGAGAAACTGCCGTTATCCCGGTCGACTCCTTTTCACTTATGCGTTTTAATGTTTTTATGTGAATTTACTGGTTCCCCTAGCTCTTCCGGTTTCAAAGCTGCGGGGAACACCGATCCCAGACTGTCTTTTTACTGTCTATTTCTTATTACAGCTTATTCTTCCCAGAGAATAAATCGAAGTTGGACGTCTGGTTCCTTATTTGATTATAAAAGAATATCTTTGGGAACTGACTTAAAAGGCGCATTCAGATTTCATTGCGCATCGCACAAACATGGACAGAATCGTTTTCTTACCTCTTACTTTGCCCTGTGATTTTTCTTCTTCTCTGAAAACAAAATGGTTTTTAATTATTCATAAAAAGAGTTCGTGGAGGCAATTTCATAGAATTGTTTAATTATTCTGTTTGGGAAACTCGAAAACAGTGGGAGGGGATGACTTCCGATGAAAAAAATTCAATTGTCTCTTGGATGGCCTGACTTTCAGCGTTGATAAACTGACTTGATTGATTTGGTTATAAAGCAGGTACGCCACACTCCCGTTATCCGCCGTGCCAATCAGTTAAATGCATTACAAATAACACATGAAAATTACATCGAAACTCACCAAAAAAATCCTCAAAATATCACCTTATGAGAGCATCATAAAAATAGAATATTTTCATAAAGCAGTTTTCTTGCATTTCGGCTATTTCAGTTTGGCTAATTAAAAATACGGTTTTTCCACACATCAGGATATCAGAGCTTCGAGGCACATCAACTGGTTTCCGTTCTTCTACGTCATAAGATTACTTCATGACGCAATCACGATATATCTGTGTTGTATTTTGCGCACTTGATCATTTCATCATAAAAAATGAGCGTTATGAGTATTAAAGTTATTATCATTATTATTATTAATATTATTATTATATATTATCATGGCAAGTTTTATTTGTCTGTATATATCATTATTATATATATATATTATCATTATATATATTATATAATTATTATTATATATATCATATTATTATTATTATCATATATCTATTATGGCAAGTTTTATTTGTCTGTATATATCATTATTATCATATATATTATTATTATATATATTATATTATTATCATTATTATATATTATTATTATTATTATTATTATTATTATTTACATGCAAGAGCGCATCAAAATTGCCGACTGATTCGTGTTCACCTTTACTGGAATTCTCAGTGATGATCCGCAGTGTCTATCGCTCTATAAATCATACTTTCTCGTTTCTTTGCAGTTTTTTTCCTTCATTGCTCTTAATTTTTTTTCTTTCAACTTTCCTATTTTATTCCTCTTAGTTCTTTCTTCTACACCCTGGGATCCAGAGGTTCTATTTTGCTACTTGTAACGAGCAAGCGACTTCCCAGCAAAGCAGCAAACAACGGAGCGAGAATAAATAACCTTTGGACCCCAGGGTATTTTTTCCTATAACCCGAATCGAAATCTTGCGACTAATTTCAAAAACTATTGTTCTGAACTGAATAGCCTCATGTTCTCGTGGAAAAATAAAAGTGATGCTTTTTTTTGTAATGACATATGTGAATTTAATAAATTTAATATTTATCTTGATATAGTATATTCTGAGAGATTTTCAAGGTGATTGAGTGTATAAGCGCCAAGGTATTGTTAGAGGCTTAATGTTAATGTTAATGTTAATGTTAATGTTAATGGCTTTCTTCCATTCCTAAGAGGATAATAAAATCAAGACTTATGGTCAATCTACCTTCATATAAACAACCTATTAAATCAAATATTTAAGAAAATCTTAAATACTTGTCGTGTGGATTCTCTTTTGACTCACAGGAAGACCACGTACACAAACCGCGCTTTCTGAATGCCAATTCTCATCAAATGGGAAAACAATTGATGTTTGAACTCCCTATGCCTTCCTGTCGTCTCCCCCTCCCAGCGCCCTTGTTAGCTCTACCCTTTGACACGTAAATGCATAGTTCAGGAACCCATTGAAATGCGCTTACAAAGGATTCCATGCATGAGAAATATACCATTTGTCCATCCTTTCCAGTTAAACCGGTTTGTGCTGGTTTCAGTTCTGTGACGTCGCCAGCAACGTTTCATGGAACAGCACAGTTTCGACACAAGATATATTCTTTTCCCTCGCATGGAATTCGCGTCGAGGGTACGCGAAGGTTAGAACACTTAGTTGAAGACCATATTTACCACTCTTTTCATTAGTACGCGCTGATCGAGACAACAGTCGCAAAAGGGAAATAGGGCAATACATTGCCGCCAATCAGAGAAAGTCAAGGTACCGACCAATTCATTTGATTTACGGATGTGTATTTCCCAATTTCCCTGTCGCGACTAATGTTTCGATCAGCGCGTAGCAATAAAAAGAGTGCTAAATTTAACCAGCCAATTACAAGGGTTGGTAAAATAAAGCAACTGACCCCCCCCCCCCCCCCCCCCCCCCCCATAAGCTAAAGCTCGTTTTAGCAGGACTTCCTCTTTTTTTTTTCAGCGTATAGTAATGAAAGGAAATGTTCTAGCCTTTGATGGACGATTAGCGTTAAGCTGAAAGGCAATACTGAATGTCTTATATCGCTTTTCATGTTTCTGCCATTGAAAAACCTCCAGACACGTCGTCACATTTTCTTGTATTTTGGCTCTCATCCATCAAACGTATATTAGAGGCTTTGCACCATCACGTGATGGCAGCCATGACAGAAAGCACAGCAATAGAGTCTTTTCCCACTGGGAGACTGAATTCTTTCTCATGTAAATCAGACTAGACCAGATTCCATTGTTCCTGCCTCCTGTCATGGCTGCCATCACGTGATGGTGTAAAGCCTCTATTCGGATCGGTAAAATGTCGATTGACAGGGAAAAAAATGCTGAAGCTATCGTGACTGCAGAAACACCAAAACAGCTCTAAGTTAAAAATAACACTAACTGGACAATAAAGAGTTTTGTCTGATTAAGAATTTCCCAATTTTCTTTCATTCTCTGCTGTTTCTTCCTCATTTGACTTGGTAAATTACGGCTCATCAGCAATGTCTTGCTATGACGGTTATCGTGGCACAGTTTGCTAGTTGGTTATTAGCTGCACGAGAGTGTTAGGACAAAAAGTATAGAAACCTGTGCTATTATCTCCTGGACTTTCCTTCTTTACCAATATAATATGTGCTTCCATAGCTTTATCCGCGATGCATTTTCCCTCATCTGATATATGTGTCAATGTGGTTACCACAAAAATAATCCATGATTGGCATTTATCGAAAAATAGTTGGAGAAGCGAAGTTCCAAAGATCATATACTAAATTCTCCCACCAATGCTCCAATATCAGAGAATATTTGAGGAGAATCTGTAGTTTGATCAGGCTGACTCGATGTTCCACTTATAAACAGTACTTACTATATGTAGTACTGAGTATAGCTAGCTGTCTCTCGTCTCAATGGCCCTTGGCTTTGTACTTAAGAAAACGAGACAAGTTTGTTCGTGCAGCATCTACAACTGGGTAATGGTCGCCCAGTGTTCTGCGCTCACTTTTAATCTACGAAAAAGGGAAAAATCTTCATCAATGGATCTTATTCGTTTGAGTGTAATGTTATCCCATGTCAAACCACGTGTCATTCTCTTGAGAATAAGATTTGTTTGAGCTGTATCTATATTCATGTCTTGTTATGCGCCACTATTTAGCAAAGAAATAATACTTTACAGAATGAAATCCTACCATTCATGCATGTAATTTTTCGATCTGCCTTTCTCCCTCCTTCAATCAATCATTCCCCCATCAATCCAACCAACCATCTATTCTTTCATCCTAGTACATTCATTCACCAATTCATTTATTTACTCATCTTCAATGCCCCAATGACACACATTTATCAAACCACAACTCTCCCTTCCTTCCCCTCCCATAATGCCCTCCCACAGGCGTGGTCTAGTTTAGCAAACAGGTCAATTATTTCTTGAAATAATACACCTACCCTGATCTTTAACACAGGCACAAGCTGTTGCAAAGTTGTTAAAAGTCCAATGGAACATAAAACAGAATTAACACGAGGTCCATCAGCAAATGTGTCAAATATGGCATCCAGAGCCTCACAGATAATCCACAGACTGGTTTGGCTTGTGATGATATCTCGTAGCACCACACCCAATGACTAGAAAATAATTATAAGGATTATGTGTACTTGATAACCTGTCTTCATCATTAAATATATAATACAATGAATACTTTATTGATATTTTCAAACAAGATTAACAAATAAAGGTTTTTGATAGTGCAGACGCACTTTAAAAAATAGTAAAAATTATAATAAATAAAACAATGTTTCTCAGGGTGTTACAGTCAAACTACGAAAAGCATGAACACCTAAAATATTATTATTATTATTATTGTTATTATTATTATTATTATTATTAAATATGTCTGAAATGTTAAACATCGTGTTCTGAACAATGGCATATGTGAGAATGAATCAATTCCTCTGTCAGATGTGATTGGTCAGAACACAATGTTTAACATATTTTAGGTGTTCACGGTTTTCTTAGTTCAACTGTATCTACGTATCAACCAATGACTTTCACTTACCTGAAGCACATCAACTGTGTCATCTCTAGTGGCGGCCATCTTGCCGATATAACCCAGTATACTGAGCAGCTTAACCTTGACAGCATCACAAGGTGTATTGACAGCAGTCTGGCACAATACAGTTACATGTTCTGCAGTGATGCACTGAAATAACAAGTCAGGAGCTTCAGAAATTATAACTAGTGCACATGAATTGCTGGGTTTTAATCAGCTGATAAAGGTCTTTGAACTTCATTATATACTCTAGATGGCGGTCTAACACTGACAACCATGTGCTGTCAACCAGAAAGATTTATATTGAGGAATTGCCATTCAGCTAAAAGACATTCACGCAAGACACAAAATGACATCAAATCTGACTGGCCGTCATTTTCAGCCCTAAAACAGAGCAGGACATAAGTTGTTTCATACCTGAGGGGCATTCAGTGCTGACAATTTCTCCAGAACAGATCTCATCACACCAGTTGCTGCCTCTACAAAATCTTCCTCATTTGTGAGAAACTTGTGGCCTACAATGATTGAACACACACAATCAATTGTCTCACTAAAGACAAGAAGACAAAAGTTTATTTAATGAGAGAACAGAGCAAAGAGGAGGGGAGGATAGAGATTTTGTTGGCTCTCTCCTATGCTTTGAGGGGTTTTCTCTGGTTTTCTTATTCCTGGGGGCCTTCACAATGATAGCTGCACATTCCCTCCCTGCCAACTATTATTGCCGACACTTACATTCATTTCCATATGTTAAGGAGAAGAGAGTATTCCACAGTTGACCCAGCGCATCAGCCCCGCCCATTAATTCAACATCCATGGAAGCAGTGATGTTGTTCAAACAAATGAGGGCTCTGATCTGGACAACACTCAGGCTGAAATGATAATTTTAAGATATCTGATAATGGTACAATACAACAATCAATTGCAAAATCCTTGTCAAGTTTCAAAACATAGTAACAAAGAAGCCGAGACTGAAATGGTACATGAAAAGTATGTTAATTAATCAGATTTATCTAATGATCATTCAACTGGAATGTTTATTTATAAATTGTTGCATATTTCATATCAACTGTGTAACTGCAAATGAATATACTTCAAAGAGTATGTGTCAAAATTTCAATGGTTTTTTCTTGCAAATTAATGTGCCCTGAGATCGAAAAGCAAGAAAATGCAATTTAAAGGGATGAAGAGTATTTAGTACCTTTTCACAGCTTTCTTTCCTTCAGGATGTTGATCTAAGGCTTCATAAACTCTCACATCTCCAAATATTGCCTTGTCCAAGACCTGCATCAAATAGCAACATCAACACATTCAAACTATCTTTTTGAAATAACATGTGAACAAATTATTCTCTTCACTATATGGAGTGGTTGGAGTGGGAAACATACGGTACTGAATTACAGCACATATGCTGAAATGGCTTCTTATTGTCTTCCAGGAAATCATCCAATCATTACCCATACTGTACAGTTAAAGTATGGCTATAAATTTGCCATATCATTTCCCATTCATAAGAAAACTGCTCTAATAGAGTGCACACCATATGCAATATATCTTTGAGAAAGTTACACTTACAAAAGTGTACGAATTAGTGCAAATTTGTGTAATTTCTTACAAAGTTTTCTATGGATATATGTTTACTATGCATACAAACCTTTTTAGGAACTTGTTGGGTTACAATAGCATTAACCATCTCTGCTGACAAATTATTTGCATTTTGCTGGGGAGAAAAAAATGTTTACAGGATACTAAAGTGAATGAAGTCTGTCATGATCCATATGCATTTTTACTTGTTTCATATGATTACATATATATATAGCTATATAGCTTATGGATAAAGCTAAGCTTGAATGAGAAAGAGAAGACTATTGTAACAATTAATGTACCTTCTGAAATATACCAAGTAAAATGGCTTAATTGGTTATTATTTTTTTTGCCAAGTCATGAATTACAGTAATTACAGTTTGATGTTTCTTACTAACCATAATATCATCTGCTAGATAATGATCTTCATCAGAGTCTGCTGCTTCATCAGATGTATCACTTCTCATGTCAGAAACATCTTCCCAATCATCATCACCGCTTTCTGTAAATAATGTAATATTTAAAATAGTTAATGCACTCTAAGGGATAAGGTATAAACAATAGTCCCTTACACAGTTCCCTACGCCATCTTGAAATGTAGTTGTGCCTTTGCATCGCAGTGAGACGAGAGGTGAGCTTGCAATGATACTCTAGAGACTCTTTTCTGACACAGTTGGACAGTTATTTCCATGCCTCTATCATTGCAAACTCTCTGTTCATCTTGCTTCAATTCAAAGGCATGGCTACCTTTCATGAAATTGTAAAGGGCACAATTATTGTCATCTTACATGACCCAATCAAGAGGAGAGGGGTGGGGTTAACCGGCACCCGCCACTTCTGGAAGTGAAACCCTGGATTTTGTCCTCAAATATCTCCAAAACTAAAAGTCAAATTACAGTAATGAATGTACTGTCTATTTGCTGCATGCTAAAAAGTGTATTTGTGCATAGAAATAGTCACTATATTTCAACAGTTTTTGAGGGTGTAGGGGGTATTTATTGATACCCATTAACTATATAAAAAAGGCCTCTATTTTGGTCCCTATTCTGTGTTTTCTAGTTTTTCTCATCCATAAAAATCAATCAAACGCTTGATTGTCTAGAGAATATTGAATTTAGCAATGGCATGTGTGTGAGTGCATTTGATTTAGGTGCGATGTTTGGGGAGGGGTGGTTAAGCCTTTGTGGAATTATTTCCTGTTTAGATTATATAGATTATAATTCTTAGAGTGGAAAAAAGAGACACTCATGTGGCCTTACCATCAGCACAGCATACATTGGACAATATTTCCAGCCCAAGCTGCTGTGCATTCAGAAGCATCTGAACCTCCTCAGCCTATACAACAAACATCAAACAAGCTGGACATTAAAATACTGTAAAATCACAGTTATATGCCCCCTGGTGCATACATGTAAGCCCCCCTCGTTATCCCATGTTTATGACTTTGATGAGACAAAATCTTGCCAAATCTTCAAATTTTATTAAGACCTGATACAACTTCTGGGCTGATCTAAGTTAGCTAACTCACAGATCAAACCCTGAAACAGCTTCCAAGCTTAAGGTGTTTTCCCCCTGCTTGGATAGAATATTTAAGATTTGGTTTGTGTCTCTTCAAGAATATTTTTCTCAAAAAAAAATTCCAAGCTACAGGCAGAAAAAACGAATTTTCGAAGAAACACGAATCAAATCTTTTTAACCTCATCACATCTAATCAACATCATGGTCGGGGCATGGCTAATTCAAAGGTAGGAAAACCAGAGAACCCACAGAAAGCCCTTGAATCAAGAGAGAGAGACACCAACAAAACCTAACCTTCTCAAGCTCAGGAAGCATTTTCCCAAGCATCTCAAGACAGTCAATCTCCAGAACTTGAGAAAGAACCTTCACCACAGCTTGAACAAGTTCACTGAAACTACACATGGGAATAGCATAGCGAACATTGTAGAGTATTCCTGCACTCAGGACCTTCAGCAACATGACTTCACTTGTGGATGGCTCTGTTACTAAAGCTTTTTCAATGGTCTTCATTAGGTGACTTGAGCCACAAAGGGCCTGAGCAGCAGATGGGTTGTCTTCTGTTACAGTATGCAGACACTGTGCTAATGAAGGATACAAATCATTGTACTAAATCAAACATTTCTAAGTAGCCTAAAGAACTGCAGTCTCAATTTATTGACCCCTGAAAAAACCTCTTGGTTGAACTAAATCAGCACAGCATTTAATTATTCTTAGATCAAATTGAAATTTAGCATGTTACTGTAGATATTGTGAATGGAAAAGTAAACATGCTAGCTAAATTCCTATTAAGTTTGGGGTTTTTATCAAGGATCGGAGATTGACGAATGCTCTGGTAAGTGAGTGATCTTCTGTTGTTTCAAAACTTATTAAAAACCCTGCCAGAACTCTGGCTAGTTCACAAATTGTTCCAGCTGTCATTTCAAGACTTAATGAAATCCCTGCCAGATGGTCAGCCAAGAGGTTGTTTCAAGGTTTGATGGCTTACCTGCTGGCATAGCCAGTGACATTGGATAGATATCTGTCTTGAGGCACTGAACAAGATGAGGTAACAAGCCTTTCATGTTGAAGATCTCAACAGCTGTCTCACTACTCTCGCTAAAATGCCAAAGAGGACCCAACAGGTTAGAATCTGCTGAATAGTCCTTTTTAGATGAAACATAATTTTTATCATTTTAGAACACAATAAGTCATTCTTCAGAGTATCATTTCTTTGCTTACTGTACATGAGAAAACATATGAATATGAGAAGACATATGAATATGAGAAAACATATGAATATGAGAAGACATATGAATATGAGAAGACATGTGAATATGAGAAGACATGTGAATATGAGACCAGTACATCAGCAGGGCCAATATAATGGTCTGTCACTGGACAGAGTCCAGCCAGAAGTGGAACAGTTCTTTTATACTGTAACCGGTAACATGGAGCCAGAAATGAGTTTTGACTAATTTGGCTGGTCATATTCATGATTGGTGTTTGACCAGCCATTAGTTTTAGCCCTGAACTAATTAAAACAAAAAATCTTATTTCCAAGCGAATGATATGAGAATGACGTGGTTTGAATGGGAAAACATTATGCTCAAGCTAAAGATGTTTATTAAAAATCATTGCTTCAGTTAATTTTCACACTTACCAGACATTCCAAAGAAGATTTATAGCTTGAACAACAAGACTTATTGTCTGTTTTTTGTAATCAGAACCAGGACTGTTGCTTACACTTTGCAAACTTTCTAAAGACTAAAGTATTAAAAAATATCCATGCTCAGTACCGGTAATTGCATTTGCTTTGAAAACAATGCCATTTATAACACATGCAAAATGGTTACCTGTTGTATAAATGTTGTTAATGGAGTCATTACATCTTGTTCTACCATTTTAGCACATACATCTGCTCCTCCACTAAGGCTCAGATTTCTGATTAAAAAATTAAAGGTGTTTTGATATCAATAATCCTTATTTTAATTCTTGAAATAAACCACTGTGAACCTTGACTAAAGATATATCCAAATATCAAGAAATCTTCCTCACAATTAAAGTATAGACCTTAATTCGTTATGGTACAAATTTACCCATCACCCATGTCATTCCCTTGAATCTTTGAGTTATTGTATCCATATTTATCTGTCTTCTCATGTTCTACCATTTAGAAAAGAAATATTTTTGAGAACACATGGTATAAAGGGAATGACATGTGGTCTGTAATGGGAAAACATTGCACCCCAGTGAATTACAGTGTAGATCTATTGAAAAGCACCAGAATTAATGAATATATTTTCGAGTTTACAGGACAAGTATTCCTCACCTCAATGCTCCAGCAGCTGCCTCCTGTATACTTCTGTTATCATCAATCAATAAAGGACCAAGGCGCCTGACTACATCCTGACGAATTAGCACAGGTACAGCACCAGGTTCAAATACAAGATTAGCAAGACCCGCACAGGCACATTCTTTTTCCTCTGCTGCTGGGCTGGCAAGCTAATCAAAGTAAAAGAATGAATGCTGGTTTTGATGATGCTCAGGGCTTAAAATAATGGCCAGTAAGTTGCCAGTCATGAGGACCAGTCAAATTAATTTTACCTTAATTTTTTTTCTGGCTTAAACTTACTGGTCAAAATGACTGGCAAGGCAAAGATTTGACTGGACACGTTCCAATTCTGGGTGGACATCATTTTAAGCTGTGATGCTGTTTATAGGTAGATCTAGAGAGTGTGATAGGTGCCAGGGGGGGTGGGCACTTGAGGATAGTTTTGATAGGGATATGTTAACGAGATACCCAAACCGTGACCATATCCATTAACAAGAAAATATTGAAATCATGTGCCTTAAGATTTTTTATAGTAAAATTACATGTATATGAGAAAACTCTAGGAGATTAATAACATGCAGTGTAGTCCCCTCCCCCTCCCCCTCCCCCNTCCCCCTCCCCCCCCCGAAATCACCATCCATCCCCTGGATCTTACTGTAATTAAACCCAGTTCACGGAGGATGTCACTAACATAATTTGTTTATCCTTATCACCATTTTCCCTATGATAAACCTTTGTGTCAAACATGATAAATATTCGAGTATTTAAAAGAAAAATAAGAAAATAAGGAATACCTTTTGAAGCAAAGGCAAAGTTTTCCCTGAAAAATTACCGCCATTTTCCATCGATTCCTCACTTTGATTTTCACATTTTTCTCCCATTGGTTGTAGTCTGTGCTTCCCACGTTTCTTAGCCTTTGTTTTGCCCATGTTTGGGGTCAGATCAAGGGTTTCTAAGACTGTTTTTTCACGACAATCACAAACTATTCCATTTCTTCTACCTTATTTCGAAACAACACATGTGGGAAGGATGGGGTAAGTTCGCTGATACGAGCCTGCAAAATAAACCACAGGTATCCCAAAATCCCAACAACATGATCTTTGATCCCATCCTGCATGCTGTCGTTTTCACCCCTACGACCCCTCTCCCGCTTAAAACGTCGTTTCATTCAAATTTCTTCTCGAGGGCGAAGGGAACAGGCGACAGGCAACGCCGTTCTTCTAGATTTACTATTTTTACAATCCTTTCTTTCTTTCTTTCTTTCTTTCTTTCTTTTCTCTTCTCTTTTCTCTTCGTTTCTTTGCATTTGGTTTTCGATCTTTTTTATTTCAGTTTCTTGGTTCGAATTGAATTTCTTTCACGCATTTCTCTCTTTGTTCTCTTAGTTTTTTCTGGGATACGAAGCCATTCATCAAAGTATAAATCAATCAATGAAATCATGGCCGTAGGCAAAGTACCGGAAAGTAGATTGCAAAGGCAGGTCAAGGTGGCTTTCATTCGATTGGAGCGCTTCTATAGATATTTGGCTAAAAGTTTTATAATATCGCATGCGACGTGATATTATTAGCTTGGAAATTAGTTTAAAAAAAGCATTGAGTAAAATATGACAACCCCAAATCTTAAAGTGCTACGTGTCAAAATTGAACCCTATACTTTTTAAATAGTCATAATTGAGGTAACCCGTTTGCCCTTAAGTTATTTCTTAATGTCTTATCTTCTTCCATCCAGTTGTACTTGTGTACTTTATCATCATAATTATATCTCTCCACGCTGCCCCCATACCTATAGAATGATCTGGGTCTAGGCGACGTGACCCGCGTTATCAGAAATATTTAGTTTTCCCCAAAGTTATGATGAAGTTAATTAGGACAAAATTTAGAGAGACATATAGAAAAATTTAAGGATGAGCAGTCGCTGAAATTCTAGAAGCTTGTATGGCTTATGGAAAGTGAATTTTACTTTCGATGTTGACCGAGGAAATAGCGCGCGTTATAATTATCAGCTGAAATATAGGGTCTCATTTGCTGAATAACCAAAACCTTAATGGTGACCAAGTGCTATATCCTTCGATCAAACATGATTAAACTTCCCTAACAAAATTAATGCGAAATTAAATCATTAGATCACACTAAATGGGAGAAACGTTCGAGAACGGAGTGGGCGGTGGATCGTGCTAGTTGTGGTGAACAAAATAGAGCCACAGTTCCAAAGTTGTAGAAATGCTTTGCATTATGGGCCTTTTTTGAGGGATGTTTCATCAGTCAGTTGTCATTTATGCATCAAGAAACGAAATGAATTTGAAAGTTCAATTCAAGTCTATCATTTTTCTTTCACTTTTCACTATCGCAAAGCGAAAAATACGCCATATGAGTAATAAGACAGTTCCATGATGCAACGCGTTACCGARCATAGAGCAAGGGCAACGTTCTTTAGAAAACACTCCCTAACAAATGGAGGACGGCCGAGGGTCTTTTAGCCCCCTCCCCCCATAAATACACCCCTATGTAGTAGTATCGTTACGTTGTGTTTATTAAATTCATACGTTGTTTTAGACTTACTACAGTCTCTGAATATGAGAGGTAAATTCAAATACACATCTTTGTCCTCCTGTAGCGAAAAAAGTTCCCCATAAGATTATATTTAATCAGAAACTCATGAGAGATTGAATCGACCCCATTTTGTTAGGGTAGTTCGAACCGCCGACATTTTTTCAAACATAACATCTTCCTGCTAGATTTTTCATATTTAAAATTTATTATTTTTTAATGTTTGCTCGGTTTATTTCCTTCAATATCTTTTGTTTTGGTATCCCTGTTTTTTGTTTGTTTGTTTATTTTTTATTTTCTTGATTAATATTCTTACGTCGCAAAAAGTGTTCACCGCTGTTATTGCAATCATAATCCCTTTTTTCGACAAACAATCAAAAATAGAAGCATAATCCATGTTCCATCAATCCACAACTTCAATTCCTTCGCGAGAGCCTCTTAAAAATCTTAAACACGTTTCAGCAAGGCAGGAATCCTTGAAATGACATTAAAATCTCCAACACAAACCTAGCCTCATTGGTCAGTCCTAAATATATGACAATTACATAATGTCATTTGATATCAACTCAAATTCAGATTCAGATTTTTTTATTGGCGAACACCAGTGAGATAACCGCAAAAGGTACATTCTTTATGTCATCGTAAGAGTAGACACGGAACGAGGGCCACTAAGTTTGTTAGCCTCTAGCTATTAAGTGCTACCCTCGTGAAAAAAGGACGGTTTTTTTCTTTTTTCTTTTTCTTTTTTCTTTTTAAGGGTAGGGGCACATGTATGATTAAATAGCGATATAATAGCCCCGGACACGTGAGGCAAACCAAATATTATTTTGATTATCTGATATGAAGAGCATTCAAGAAGAATGAGCTCTCTACAAAAGATTTAATCGTTTCTTCTGGAAATTCTAGACGTGAGCTACACGTAATAAGTATATAATCCAGGGAGGGATTAGCTATTCCTGTAATAAATGCTTCACGGCGGCGAGATTATCAGAGTCCATGTACAAAACATATTAGTGACTTATATTCAGTTAAGCGCCCTTAAAGGGTGCGCTCTGCTATATCAATGATATATTGGGATCGAAGTGGGGCTGAGTAATATTGTTTGGTAGTATACTATGGAAATTTTTTGTTATAATCGTCATTTCCTTTCCGTTTAGTATATGGCTCCAAGAATAAACTCTGATCTTGAATTGGAGCCGAGTAAATAAGCTGGTTCAAAAACGCAGCCTGTGAACCTTCAAAAAGTTTCACATTCTACTGATATCCCCCCCCNCAACCCACCCACCCTCCATGTCTGGGTAGTCTAAGCTCAGCCCCCTAGCCCCTTATCTCATGATGCACACACGCACACACACACAATATATATATATACTTTCCTTATCCAAAGCCCCCTCAAAAAAATCCTATTTAATTGCTTTATCGATATCTGTACTATAATGCTACCGTGCGTATGATGCATGTGAAATCTGCTTGGACGTGCACGTCTTTCTTTCGCTGATAAAATATATCACATATTTGACCAAGCTATTTTTGATTGATATTTTTAGCAAAAAAAGTAAAATGCATTAGATATGAATCGGTACAAGCTGTTGAATATTCGAAAATTAGGTTTTGTTCACTCATACGCCCCTCMCCTCTCAGTGTGCAATCGCTCGTCCAGCCCAACCCTCCCTATCCCTTTCCGTACTTTCAAGTATTGGGGTGTTTTGGTTTTCCCTTAAGTACAAAATAAATTAATACGTTTGAACACATCAATATTGCCCGAGGCGATGTTGATTTCTCTTGTCGTAATTTACCCTATGACGTAAGGGGTAGCACTTAAAATCCCTATAAAAGATCTTTCGCCTCAACATCAATATTGTGTTCATTGTTCTACGACACTTGAAGCTTTCAGTTGGCGCTCGCTCGCTCATGATCAAGGCCTTCAGTCAGTTGGGTCGAGTCTATGAATCGAAGAAGTAATTGATTTCTTTACCAGTTTCTTTGAGTGTTTTGGCTGTTCGACCTAATTAGAACGAAAGAGTTACAGTCTTAGTCCCATTTCGTTAAGAAACCTAGCTGCAATTAGTCATCGATCATCGAGTTCATGTTGCCAGATTTTCAAATCCTGAGTGACGGGGCGCCGAAGCCCAATGCCTTTTATTCGCGGCATTTAAGCTTAAATGATGTGCGAGCCCAAAAGGAGGACACCAACTCCAATCTCAGCCAGCAGCGTCGAACAAGTTCACAGCCGTTATGCAATAGGAAGAACACCGCAATCGGCGAAAAGGGGATACAAGCTTTAGACAACTTCGAAGATTTGAAAAACAGCCGGAAAAAGGCCACCAAAAAGCCAGCGCAGAATCAGCACAAAGAGAACGAAAATGCAGATTTACCACATGAGTCAAACTCCAAAGAGAAATCAAGCCTTAAGGCTTGCAGGGCTTCCGACATTGATTTAAAAAACACGGAGAATTCGGACAATATGGATGAAATAGATAATACGAGGGATGTTTATGAAACTGCGGACGTTGCTGAAATAAAGTGGTGCCAGTGTTCAAAACAAAACGCTAAATTTAGCAGTCAGTCGGCTCGAAGAAAAAGTCAAAGAGCAAAAACCCTTAAGAGGAGTAGGATGAGCGCTTTGGTGGAAGAAGTGCCCGCAGAAACGAAATGCGAGAAATGTTTTCTGGAAATACGCGACGAAAGCAGGAGAAAAGAGAGGATTATTGAGTTATGGATGCAGTTTTTTGGTTGAAATCGAAAACAATATTTCAATTTTCTTAAAGCCTTCTGATTAAGCCGCTTGAACGAAAACGGATGTTTGGAAAAACTGAAAAGTGTGCACAAAATCCACGAGAAAGAAGCTGAAAATAGACGATAAAGTAGTATAACATGTCAGGTATTTTTCTAATGAGAGTAATGTTTATTAAACTAGCGTCGGACCAGTGGCTTAGCGAGGAGGGAGAGAGAGAAAGGGAGAGGGGGAGGGGGGGTACCTTTTGGTGTTTTAATTGCTTTTTTAAAATCTCATGTTTTATTCTGGTTGTCCCCGAATTTCTGGGACCTCGCTCGCTACGCCCCTGCGTTGTACCAAAAAGAACATTTGTAATCGCGTTATAGAATATGTCTCAAATAAAAGCAGTACGATCGAATAGATAAGCGTTCAATGTAAAGGGAGGCCTTAAGGATATGCGCTGAATAGATAAGCGCTCAATGTATAGGGAAGCCTTAAGAATATGCATTGAGTAGATAAGCGTTCAAGGTATAGGGAGGCCTCAAGAAATATATGCACTGAATAAAGCATTTTCTAATTGATCCAGCTGATAGTGAGTTTTACAATCAAAATCGAGAAAAACTGCAGGGACACTGCCTCCTAAACCAAAACAACCAAAGATAGCGAATCAACTAAATAAAGAATAAATCAAACAGAGACGGTTTGTCTGTCTTAGGAGAAACTTTCGTCAAGGGTTTGAAAAACAACACATATGTGGTCTAATATATATACAAGATCCATGTATTTATAAAGAGATTCCAACTAAAGAAAAAAATAAAAATAAACAAGCCTGAAAAGGAATTAATCTTTTTAATTTGACAGGGGGCAGTGAAAAGTAATTACGGATGTAAYGGATTTTCATTGATGTCAACTGCGAAACGCACGAAACTCCCCGGCCCTTGCGCACCGATGATTTAATGTTGCCGGTCTGCACACACGGTCGTTAGCTTGTCTCATGTTTGACTGTATGCTTGAAAAGCTAAACTTTTATTTATAAGAAATAAATAAAAAATAAAATTTCAGAGTTTTATTCAAAGAATCTTCCTGTTTATTGCTTTCTTTTTCTCTTTCCACTATCTAGTTTTCCCTTTCTTTTTCATAAATTTCCCTTTCATAATTCTTCCTTTCTTCCCTCCCTCCCTTCATTCCTTCCTTTCTTTATTAATGTATCCATTGATCCATTACCCAACTATCAATCCATGATTCTTTTCTTCCCTTCTCTCTTTTTCCATTCGTTTCCCATTTCCATTTGTTTTTACTTTTCGTTTATGTTTCATCCACACACACACACACGCACACACGCGCACCCGCGCGCGCACACACACACACCCATACACTCCACCCTTTTTCTCTTTCAGTTTCCCTTGGTGTCTTTTGATAGGGTATTTCAGCAGACTTTCAGGTCGCACCACAGGCTGTCCTGTGACTTGAAAGACAGTGATATTTTTACAAATTTTACAAATATCTTATTTTAGCTTTAAAAGCTTAATAAATGTTTACAAACCTTTATGTATCTACTGGGAGTTGATATCGAAGCTATTTATATCGTAATTTTGCTTTTTTTATATAATCATCACTGTCACTACCACTGTCTTTTAATCCACACGATAATAGCCTGGTCAGCCTGTTGGTAGCACATTGACTTCTACTACACACTCCACAGTCAGAGACAATTAAATTGAGATAATTTATGTATTTACAGTTCAATCCAGGCAGCCCGAATATAGAATTTATCAATCAAAAGGTTTTCATTTCGATCAGTTTCTCTCTGATGCAACTGTCAATATTTATCGCCTGGGGAGGGGGGTGGGGGAGAGGGGTCCATTCGGTGGTTGCTGCTACTTAAGGGACCAGCCATTATTTAAGTCAGAGGAGGGATGGGGGAGGGTGCAGGAGAAATGTTTTTGATGCAAAAATTTTCCAGACCCAATCTAATAGCATTCATGTTTTTCGGTTACCCCCCTTCAATCGTTTAAAAAATCCTCCCAATCCTCCTTTTGACCTTCAATATAAAGAGAATTCTCCCCATAAGTTATCTTTTAAGATAAAAAACTCATATGACCCTTTCTTCCTTCTCCCCACCCAGGAAACGAATAATGACCAGTCCCTAAATTTAGATTTGCTTTACTGATATCTTAATATAGATACATAATGACGTAATGTCCGTTTGCTCTAGATGACGCCAATCCGTGGGCCTGGGATCTAAGATGACGTCATATCTGTGATTGGTCAAGGGCCTGGGGTCGAGGGAAAGAAGGAAAACAGTTTGTTGAGTCAAGCAAAATTTCGTAATTTAATCTTAAAGTTCTGTGCGAATTCCCATAAAAACAGCTCTAAATACAGAGTTCTATACTTTTTAAGTCATAATGTTTAGTATTTTTGGTAAAAAGAAAAAGGATGAGCCGCCAACGACCCAAGAAGCGATCCAAAAGTTACGATCAACCGAGGAGTTGTTGCAGAAAAAGAGCGACTTTTTAGAAAAGAAAATTGGTCAAGAACTAGTGTTAGCTAAACAAAATGCTTCTAAAAATAAGAGAGGTAGGTATTGACAACTATATGAGTTACTTTAATTCATGGCTTTCCATTCTGAGGCTCCCTAACAAGATACGATTATTATTTTAGCTGCTCTAAATGCCTTGAAGAGAAAAAAGCGATTGGAGAAACAGTTGAATCAAATAGATGGGACCTTATCGACGATTGAGTTCCAAAGAGAAGCATTAGAAGGGGCTAATACTAATACAGAAGTACTAAAGAATATGTCTTATGCTGCTAAGGCACTCAAGGCTGCTCATCAACAATTGTAAGTCATGCCTATGTGAACAAGGTTGAGTATGGGTGCATATAGAAATAATGGTAAGTTATAGTGCTTGGGAACGAGGTTATTCCGGGCGAAAGCCCTTGGAATTAAATTCGGAAAAATTAATTTCCGACCTCGCTGGGAATCAAAATCCACGACCTTCGGAATTGTACTACCGATGCTCTACCAGCTGAGCTAGAGGTCAGACTGAGAGCAGGCCGGGGTGAAATAGATGAAAGGTCGCGGTAATTATGATGCAAAGATGAGAATATGTGGACCGCGTAGCACTTATGAAAATACATGAAGATATAGAAATAATGGTAAGTTATAGTGCTTGGGAACGAGGTTATTCCGGGCGAAAGCCCTTGGAATTAAATTCGGAAAAATTAATTTCCGACCTCGCTGGGAATCAAAATCCACGACCTTCGGAATTGTACTACCGATGCTCTACCAGCTGAGCTAGAGGTCAGACTGAGAGCAGGCCGGGGTGAAATAGATGAAAGGTCGCAGTAAATATGATGCAAAGATGTAAGCAGTATTGACATACTAAAGGGTCTAAAGTATTTCAGATGATGTGACATTCCCTTGAGTAATATTTCTTTATCTCTCAATAGCAAGCATGGATACATTAAAAATTTGACAAACTGACGTGATCAGTTATGGCAAAAATATTAACCCCTTTCTAGAGGTCCATATTAGGCCATATATGGCATGTTTTATTTCTATTTAGGCCCACGATTTCTCTAGTTTACCTTAAGAGAAAAAGCTCATCAAGGGAACGCTTGCACTAGAATCTGTTAAAAGCATTTACTATTTAGCAATTATTTGCCAAAGGCAAAGTGATTATCAGTGAATATTTACCGAGCTGTGACTTTTCAAGGGGCAAGGTAAATATTCTCCATAATATATCGTCTCTTACTCACTGGTCGCTCCACCAATCACAGTGCACAAACACTGCCTTTGCACAGAATGGCAACATCCATTATATATTTCAGCTTAAATTTTGTATAATGCTTGAGTAGCATTTAGCCAGAAATAAGGTATGACTAAGCTAAAACTAATTTGGCTTGTGATCATTACCGGCTACCGATCAGCTGTTTTTTTAAGCCCTGCCATCCTGTTATTCAGTGTTTATTGAAAACATGATCTGTAAAATTTGATTTAAAATTTGTTTGGGTGGCTTGGTAAATGTAGTTGCACTTTAATGTGTACTTTTGTACGTTAGGGATGTGGATGATGTACACGATATGATGGATGACATCCAAGAACAAACAGAACTAGCTGATGAAATCTCTAGAGCTATATCTGAACCAGTTGGCTTTGGACAAGATATTGATGAGGTAACTTTGCATCTCAATAAATGATGTTAACTACCACCCAGTTAGCAAATCTACTGCCTTTGATCTGTCCATTGGTCATTTTGTGGAAGTTTGGTTCAATCCATGGCTGAACAGGGTCAAAAAATATATTATTTGTGAGTAGTAGGTGCTACATTTTCTCTTAAAATGTCTGTGAATTAGTTTTTGCATGGATTTCTATATGGAATTAAGTTCTATTAAGAAATGTTCTGCAAAGAGGGCTAAGTACTTTGTGTCAACTGTCAAGTGCCCTCTTTATAAAAACTCATCTTTTCTAATTCAACAATCATATAATAAACATAATCTTTGGGAGAGGTTAACTTGAAGCCAGATATCTTAATGTACATGACTAGACTGTAAGGTTTCTTGGTCTCATACTCTACAATCTTTTTTTCAGGAGGAACTTAATGCAGAACTTGAAGAATTAGAACAAGAGGGCTTAGATGAAGAGCTTCTGAAGGTTGGAGGAACAGCTGAATTGCCTACTGTACCAACAACAGAACTCCCTGCACAGCCTGGTAAGTGGATTGAGAATCGTTTATGATACAATGATTCAGTGCATGAATGCATGAAACACAATATCAGGAGCCACCAAGCAAGTTTTGCATTAGGGGGCTAATATTTCAGAAAAAATCTCTTTTGAAAACTGAGTGAATAAATCAAAAATGGTGGCAAAATTATTGGTGGGGTTATAGCTCCTCAGCCCCTGCCATCCTTGCATAAAATGATAAATGTTATTAATTTATTGGCTTCTGTTCTGACCAACAAGGATCGTGGGAGTATGTGCCAAAATAGTCTGTATTGACAGGATATAGATATTTGTATAAACAAATTAATATGTCATCCTACAAATAATGATTATTGAAAGTGTCTCAGTCGCTATGGCAAATTTTCTCAACAAAATATCTTGAATGTGCTGAAAAGTAAGGCAAAACATTTATACTATAAATTTTAACTATAATTCCTATCACCAATGAGATTTTGCATCTTAGCTTAACATACATGTATTCTAGAAAAACTATAAAAAGATGACCATCAGAGTCAGTACTATGCAGTTCTTTACAGTCTTTCTAGCAAGGCCAATTGAACATATTTTCTAACTTCAATCAATTTTTTCTCCTTAGCAAAAGCAAAAGCAGCCAAACAGGCAGAGGATGACGACATGGCAGAGCTAGAGGCCTGGGCTTCGTAAAATTGAAATTGAACTGACAGCACCTCATTTCTTATAATGACAAATCGACATTACATTTGAATTGATTTTACTATGCTAAAGTATACACCAAGGCTGAGATTTCATTTCAAGTACACAGTAAATAATTTGATATACATAATTATGTTATCTGACTTGTCAATAAGTGTACTATAGAAGAGGCTCGACCATTTGATAACGGTCATGGCTTAAATTTCTTGATAGCATTATCTTTTTCAAACAGCACTCAGGATTTCTCCCTACCAAAGGTTTTCCTTTGAAAGTTAGCCACACTTTCATCATCCTAAAGCACCCACTAGAATTTGATCAAGAAAATTGTAGTGTGTTGAATATTGAATTCCACGTTGAACACAAGATAATGAAGTGATAATTATCTTGTAAGACAGGAATCATCTGTAGCTAATATTTTTGTGAGAATTTCGAGGGAAAAAATAAAATGCTTTTATGAGTTTGGAATTCATTATCCTAGAATGTGAAATTGAATGGACTTTAAAATTAGCAATAACAGTGAATAGAGGAGGGTTGTAAAATGAAAATGAAACGGTAGGACAAATTTTAGACAAGTGTTAATTGTCTGTAACTTTCAAGTGAATTGAAGGAAAGGATTATGATTGGATGGTCCTCATTTTCATGCTTGTGGTTGGTTCAGACCCTAACTAAAGCCATTTAAAAGTCACTGCCTCAAGACCTAGACACATAACTGTTGCACAAAACGATGAAATTGCAAAGTATGTAACACTTCTGAAACAGTCGTGTACAATGCTTGCTTAAATCAAGATCAACTCTTGCAATGCTGCACAACATATTTTGTTTGCAGCTTATATATATTATAATAACTTTTGTTGCTAAACCTTGTCAGAAATGTGTGTAGGTGAAATTAGAAGACCTATAGTTTTTTTGCACGAAAAATTTCCTGTGGCCAAACATATTGTGGGCAACAATTGCACCATGTGTCTAGTAAGTCTTCTAACTCAACCAACTCAGTAGAAAATTTGTTTTATTGTTGTTGATATCATATCATGATTTTTCTTATGGAAGATATAGGTGACCAACTATGGCATAAAGGGCTAATAATAAATACTGGTCAATAGACAGCTTTTAGGCTGGTTCTCTGGATTTATCACGTCACAGACTATCCGCTGTGCCCGATCATCATGTCCATGGCATAGGCCTTTTCTGAGTTTGATAAATAGGATGCATTGTAGTCTAGCTTCAGTACGAACAAAACCCCATACAAGGTATGTGGATCAAAAGAAGTTTTTTGTTCCAAAACTAGACCACAATGCATGTTTGCTATCTCAGAAAAGTCTTTTGAATAGCCATTATTTTTAGCCTTGGCATCTTTAGTTTAGAAGCCAGTAGCATATTGTGGCACTTGTATATTTAAAAGGGTTCATAATTTCTTTAGGCCTAATTTTTGTAAAAAAAATCATTTTATTTGTGTCATCACTGGACTGAACTAGAAAGTGGCTAGTGTTTCATTACGTCTAAATGTATCTAATTCCAAAAGTACAATAAACAGATGTACATTTTACATATATCTTTTGGTTTAATGTTACTTTCTTTGTCATTTGAAATGCTTCCTTAATGCATCTCTTCCTCAGTTGCTGTGATCATGGGTCTAATCTCCAGACTCGCCATAATAATGTGATAAACGTTAATGTTATGTTAATGATATGTATTTTATCATTTCTTTAATAAAGACATTATTATTATTATTATTATTATTATTATAAAGATAGTTTTATAATGACTGTTTTTTCCAGTATGATGAGAAATGATTTTCATTGTATATTCTAAGAACTAGACTTTATCTTTCATTTTGCTCCAGATAGTTAGGTTTCTTGTGCTTCCCTCATTTTTTCCCTTTTATTGATAGCCAAAAGCCCACACATCAGGGGTGCTTACCATTTACCTGGAAAACCAGAAATTCTAGCTGGAAAATATGTCATTCTTATAGGAAAGTGCCAGAAAACTTAGTCTTCTGATTGAGGTATTCCACTTTCTCCTCTCTTTTTGGTTCTTGTGTTAGAAGCATCATTTGTTGGAAGTAAAAAAATCCCGCCCTTTTCTTACTATTAGCACATGAATTTCCAACCAGATGAATTGGTTTAAGTGGTAACTGACGCTGTTTTGCAATAGAGGTATTTCATAGAAAACATTTTTATTGGAAGGAATAATGCAATGTTTTTGCACAACATTTTTTGTCCTACAAATTTGGCTGCTGCATTGGCTCAAAAGTGGACCAAATCCACCTAGGCGCAATGTTTTCCCCCTGTGTCATTAATTTGAAAATAAGATTCTTTGTTTGAGTTGTTTCTATGTTTCTATATTCATGTGTCTTCTCATTCACAACCAGTAAACAAAGAAATAATACTCTAGGAAACGACACTTGCTATTAGTATAGGAAATCGCACGATCTCGAGTACAATTTGGAAATTAATAGACACGAGTAATGTTTTGAAAGTTCATGTAATTGCACGAGCCTTTAGGCGAGTGCAATTAAAGAACTTTCAAAACATTACGAGTGTCTATTAATTCCAAATTGTACGAGAAGATCGTGTGATTTTTTGTTTATAGTTCACTTAACAAAATTTCAGTAAAAAATGCGAAGCGACGCCGTTCATCTTTGTCTATTTGGCTGCCGATTTTCAGTCCATCGCGCAACTGAAATGCATAAAAAAGATTAGTTCTTACGGCTTTAACATTTTATTTATGCTTTTTAAGTACAAAATGATAGAAAATAATTGTTTTGACATTGTTTTGGCTGTGTTGCCATAGCGACTTAATTCGGTACTCCTACGGAGTACAATTAACGCTATAATTGTACTACTCTTGACCAATCAGAGTCGAGTAATTTTGTTGAGTGTACTATAAAACGAGAAAACATTATGCCCAAGCCGATTTAGTCTGTTAAGGTGCGATTCAAAATACTAATCACAATGTTTTGATACTGCAGATACTACTTCTTGACCAGACTTGATGACCCCTCATCCAAGAACCAATACACCTTGCCATTGGTCAGCTTAACCCTTGCAGCTGGTAACAGGTTTTCTTCTTTCCCTTCAAGAGCCCTCTTGACTACTTCAGCTTTGCTTACCCCAGTAGCAACAAAGATAGCACCACGTGCAGCATGGATTACTGGGTACGTCAACGTAATGCGACAGGGAGGCGGCTTGGGTGAATCTGATATTGGCGCCACTAATCTGGTTGATTCCTTCAGTAAGGGATGATCAGGGAACAAGGAACAAATGTGCCCGTCAGAACCCATCCCAAGCAACAACATGTCAAGTTGGGGTACACCCTTTTCCTTGGGGTATAGCCCTCTTAACTTTGTTTCGTACTCCTTGGCTGCCTCGTCGAGAGGTAGCGAAGCGTTCAGAGCAAGAACAACTTCAGGGGCTGAAGATATCTTATCTAAAAGCTGTTCTTTTACTATATTATAGTTACTATCAGGATCTGTGAGCTCCACGTATCGTTCATCGCAAAACAGGATCCTCCATTTTGAAAAGTCGATGTCCTCAGTCTGTAAGCCTTTACAAATAATTTTCGCGCTGCTCCCTCCTGAAAACGCCACAGAAAAGAAACCATGATTTGCGATTGCTTCTTTTGATTTTTCAGCTATCAGGGAACAGACAGAACGTTGCAAATCTTCCTCAGATGAAAACGTCCAGACTTGTTGACTTTCGTCCGCCATTTTGAAAATATGATTTCCCCAAAGGTATTATGGGCCATTTTGTAAGCACAGGTATACCGCCGCGAAGGTTATTATTATTTTTTATGAATTTGAAAACTTTGCTAAAACATCTCATATTGGTTTGAATATTTTCTATGCATTTTGAACTCATTAATTATTATACATATTATTTTATTACTCTTTAATAAGAAAATTGTTGATATTTGAGGTATTTTTGTAGGATGACTTAAGGTATTTACCTATCATGCACTGCGCGCTTAGTATTGCTGCATGGTTAGTTGTGAAAGAGATTTGCTCGATATTTAGAACTTGTTGATACCCTTTTTATGACCTGTATCTAAATAATACCTAATAAGATTAGTCTTAGAGGGTTTTCACGATGTCCGTCGTCATCAAAATGAAAGGTTTACCCTTTGAATCAACTGCTAAAGACATCAAATCGTTCTTCCAAGGTCTGTATTTGAGAGAGGACGAAATCCATTTGGCTGCTTACAAGGATGGAAAAGCAGCAGGGATTGCTTTTGCGGTGTTTCATAGCGATGAGGATGCGAGAAAAGCCATGTTTAGGAATGGGAAATACATAGGCAAGAGGTATATTGAACTGTTTTTGAGCAGTACTTCTGAAATGAACTCCATGCTTCAACAAGGCGTCCCTAAACCAAGACAAGCCAGGGAAGGAGGAGGACAACGCGAGGAAATGAAGTCCAAGGGAAATCGGGGTAAAATGAAGCAGAATAGGGTTCAAAACGTTAAGAGAAGTGATAGAAGTGAGGTTCATCCACGAGCTAGAAGTAGGAGTCCTATTTCAAGGCAAGGAAATCCAGGGCGGGAGTCAAATTCAAGGAGTTTTGGAGGTTCGAATAGAGGTCCTGGTTTTGGTGGTGATAATGAAAGACACGTTGAGTTAGATGACAGAGAGGCAAGGTTTTTTGAAATGAGGATGAGGGAAGAGGAAGATGAAAGACAAGATCGTTATCATAGATTACATAATGAAAGAGAAATTCCTAGAGAAAGAATGGGAAACAAGAGTTTTCAAATGGATAAAAGGGATATGCATAGGGAAAAGGGTAATGGAAGAGAGGATGCAAATAATAGAAATAAGCAGAGGGGATCGCCACAGTCTTCCAGAGAGGAGAGGGATAGAGGAGACAGGAATGATGAAACTTGCTGCAGACTCTTTGGACTTCCATTCCAGGTCAGCGAATCAGAAGTCAGGAATTTCTTCAAGGGATTTTCTGTTCTCAAAATAAAGCTGCTTTATCATCCTGAGGGGTCGTTTGCTGGAAGGAAAAATGGTCAAGCATATGTGGAATTTAGGTCTGTTCAGGAATCAAGAGAGGCTGCAAAGAAAAAGCACAAGCAGTATATGGGGAATAGGTATGTTGAAGTTACTTGTTGCAGCAAAAGGGAGATGATTGAAGAATCAAAAGTAAATGATGATTTGTGCCAAAGGGCTCAAGAGGGCCAAAGGGGCGATAGAGAATCCAGGTTTAGTTCTGTGGCTGGTAATCATCCCATCAGTGACCTAGCAATAAAGATTGATCCTGAGATATTAAATTCTGCATACAGCATGCCAAATTTCCTGGACAGTAATCCAGATCTTCGAAACCTAGGTTTTTCATTACCAAATCCATACATGTCAAGTGAAGCAGTGGACCTTCAAACATTAGCAACACTGAGACAGCTTGAATCACGAGCTAACATTAATCCTGATGATGTCACGGCTGGCTGTGTTGTTGGTATTCGCAATTTACCTTCCACTATCACAGCTGAAGAAATTTTGGATTTCTTCTATGGGTTCCCTGTGTTTTCTGATTCTGTGCGCATTCATTACTTGGCACCTGGGCAGTCATCTGGGGATGCAATGGTAACGTTCCGTTCAAGTCGAGAAGCAACTGCAGCTATTGAGCAACTCAATCACAAACCTGTAGGAAAAAGGAATGTCCAGTTGTTTCTTGTTTAGAACTGTTTAGATGGTTTTCAGAACTTTTGTATATCTGGTACAGAACATTATTGGTAAAGATAATCTAGATTTTGAGATATTTGGACTAGCGTATGGACTTACAAAACTACAGTAGATTTCTTACATTTTAAAGAGATTATTATCACATGATCAAGCAAGGTGCAACTTGAGCCATAATTGGTTCAATTCTAGCCATAACCGTAGCCTGCCAATGCTATATGCACTAATCTATGTTCATTATATTACATCTTTAAATGTATTAAGAATGTATATGGGCAAGGACAGTAGATATTTGGATTTAAGTGACGTGTTAATTTATTTACAGTTCATTGTCGCCTGTCTTGAATTCTAGATGTCAAAACTAGTTGCATGATGATGTATACTTGTGTCATGCTCAATGGAGAGGCATAGTCAATGTACATAATTATCTAGATGTATTATTTTTCACACAGCATTTAATATTTTTGTGTGTTGTCGCATGAATATTTTTGATTTTCTTTAGTAGACATTGCCTAGTTATAGTTTTTCCCATAATCATAACTCAATTTGATAACATTTGTTATGCAAGTACTTTGAGATAATTTAGTAAAAGGGACGTTCGTAATAGCGTTTATTTTTGTTATTTAATTCTGGATGGTGTAGAGAGTAGTATTTTAGGAGGGCAGAATGAAAAAGGAATGGGCTATCTTAAGAAGCTGGGTCAGTCATCATATTTTTGCAAACAGAGGAAAGCTAGGGAAAAGAACTTATCTAAGTATGAGTTATGGTTGGTTTATTCTACTTGGATAGTAATTAAAGAGCTATTTATCCTTCCTTGGTAGGGGGAAGAACAGTGTATAAAGTTTTTTTTCCAGAAGTGAAAATACAGAAGGTATAATCTCAGAAATTAGGCATATTGTAATTTTTCATATGGGAGAAATGGGAAAAAAGGAAAATGGGAAAAAATAATGGAAACTCCACAACCAGCACTGGCTAGGATAGGATAATTTAATAGCCTAGTATATTGGCCTTATATTAGCCTTTCATCTACCAAGAAGATGGTCTTGATGGATGAGAAAAAAAGCTGATCTCTTGAAGCACTTGGACTACTACCTTCAAATGCTATTGAAAATATCAGAAAGGACCTGGAAGCTGATTAAAGTCAGGGCATGGCCATGAACTAGTTGTAGATTAAATTAGATACATGTTATCATAAGGGAAAGTGCCTGCAACAATTTGTGAACAGATGCAGGCGTAGCTCAGTTGGCATGCAATCTTCAGAGCTAGAGGACCATGGTTTGATCCTTGGGATCTCCATGTCCATTTTGACTTATCTCTAGGTTCCATGTAGCTTTAGCTTAAATACTTGTAACAGGAGCACTGATAGTTGTAGGAAGTGTGCACCTTTGGGTGCTTTATACAAGAGCCTCTGGCTCAGGAGAATTTGGCAAGCACTCCCTGCTCTATTGAAGTAAAATAAATTACCTTTACCTTTTTAAGATTATGGGTTCATTGAATCAGATGTGAACGATTATTTGAACTCAAAGTATTGAAAGCATGAGGCAAAGTTTGTGCCATACTGAATTGGAAAAGCCAGAGAAAGTTCAGTGGTGTCAGCACATCTTGTTACTAAAGCATGACTTGCTATGAGGATCACTACCTAATCGGGTACTGTTAGCATTAGAAGTGGGAGCACAACACAAGTGTACCAGCAAGGGTTGAATTCTTGTTCAAAAATAATAAAAGTTATCCATTCCAATAATCATGCAAAAAGTCAAGATGTAATAAAATTAAAATGTGTTATGGATAAGGAAATCCTTAGGGTAATGCAAACTGTAAAGCTTTTTGTTGCTGCAGAGTTATCAAAGGTGATACAAATCATACAATTACTGAAAAATAGAACAGGGACTGCTTATTTCAAATTGTTTCATCCGCCCTCTACATCATAATACAATTCAATGATAGCATGAGTGGTTGCTGATCAGACTACCGCTGAAGCAAGATAATAAGTCGTGATGCCAGGGCAAAATTTACTAGTTGTCAAAGTCTTAAAAGTTGTGTTGTGATATACAAATTTGGATAAGAGGTGTAATTCAGAAATTAGTTTTACTCCCAAAGGAAAATCGATAAAGAAAGTACTAGAAAATACCCTTTATAGACCCACCTCACCTTACCTCGCCTCCTGGAAATACCATACTTCCTCTCAAAGGGGGGAAATATGATATAAATACCATATTTTATACCATTTAAACAAAAGCACTAGCCATTCAGAGAGGACATCTTCATTAAATGAATTGTAAGGTAAGTATGATTATATTGTGCATAACATATCCAAACAATCCTATGTAAGACTCGAGTTAAAAAGTCGTAACTATCCCAGGTAGGTTGGATATAATCATTGTTTTCATTGGGAAAAAAATACAGTAAGTCACTGGGAGTGCAGTGGTGCATTTTAATGCTAGATTTATTAAGACAATGTGTATTATGTTAAGTCAAACTAGTGAGTGCAAATATAAATAAAGCTACTGAAAATATATAAATTATTATTACAAAAATATAAACATTCTTTTATGATAAATTATTATGCAACGGAACTGTACAAGACATTATTATTTCAACAGTGCCGGTCATTCTAATGAAATTTGAATTTGAATTTGATAGACTTTGGTCTATACAATCTTGTATATTGCTGTAATTTTCATTTCCTTATGAATAAGGTTTTTCCCCTCGAGGTAAACCAAAATTTACGTACCCTCAAGTATCACTGGTACGTTAATGAAAGTAATAATACTGAAGGGAAATTTAACAAATGGCTTGAAATGATAAATCAGTGGAATTTTCCAAGCGTTTGAAGAAGCATCAGAAGTAGTGTTGCCATGGTAATGGTTCCATGGTAACCAGCTTCCTTGGTTGCTACCGGTTACCATGGACTTTTCTCCTTAAGGAGAAAGAGATACAATGTAGCCTGGGAAAGGAAAATTACTCGATAGATCCCTGGCTGTGCATACTCTGACTTGTCCTGTTGAGAGAAAGCTGAGAACCACGAAGAGATCCCTGAGAGTCGTAATGCAATGAACTTTGTGAGCCACTCTTGATGGAATCTAGTCTTGTTGGTATTGTTGCTGGATGAATATCATTCTCAAAAGCCTGGTTCAAACATATTAACAATGCCCATCAGATTGTAGTCATATGAATTAAATTAGAGGGGAAAAAATAAAATTATAATAGAAACCCTAGGCTTGGGATTGTCCTAAAATAAAGTACAGTAATATGTGCCTGGAGCTAACAAGACCCAACTAACTATTGTCCCACTGGAGGTACCACTGTACAAATCCCCTACCAACCCCTTCCCCCCCTTACACCTCTTAAGTCAATCTGTTGGACATAATGTCAAACTGTAGACAGATTTTTGTAACATTTGTGGTGATGCATCTTGAACAGCAGAATACCATCCCTCCCACCCTCCATCAGGCTGATAAAAAGCAGATAACTAGTAATGTAGCACAACTCTAAGTTCAGCTGATCATTTATGGCCATGGAATCATTACGTACTGGATGTAAGTCAAACTGTTGACAGATTTGTGTTGATGCATCTTATATCAACACCTCCTAAAAACCTGATCCAAAATTAAACAACTATTCTAATGTTATGTACAATGAAGCACTGTCACCTCTAAGTCTAGTTGTTCATCTATAGCCATGAGATGCTTGTAGGCCTGAGTATAGGTTTCTAGAGCCTTGGCATGGAACAACAATTGACCATGGAAGAAGCTACCAAAAATGCTCTACAAGAAAATTTAAATATCCATCAAATTATGAATAATAAATTGTGAAATGAGCTGTAAATTAGATACAGAATCTTCCTCATTTCCATTCAACTTTAACTTGCCAGATTTTCTTGGTGAAACAGCTCAATCACTTCTAATCAATCTCAACAATTTTTTAGCAGAACATGAACTTAATCTCCAAAACAGTTTAATAGGCACTACTATAATATTCACGTCTGGTCTGTATGGGATTTACAGCAGCTTACCTCCAGCTTGCCCTTGTAAATGACCATAAGGGTTTTCTGTTCACATTGTATATATATCACTTGTAAACACACCAACCTATTTTTAGTGCCTTTGAAATTGGCTCAAAAATGTCATACACATTATGATATTGAGAATAATCTTAACCAACCTTAAGGTCTTCAATCTTTTTCTTCTCAAAGATGACCATTTGATCCACCATAGTTTGACGTGCCCTGCCTGAATCGATAGATGCCTTTTGGAGTTCCTGCTCCAGCTAAATTGTTTTAAAAATCAGTGAAATGTTAATTTATCAGCATCAAAAAGTTTTTTTTTACGCAGCTACAAATTAAATTTCAAGATGAAAATAGAAAAAAATTACAAATCATTAGCTCCAGCTAAATTGTTTTAAAAATCAGTGAAATGTTAATTTATCAGCATCAAAAAGTTTGTTTTTTTTACACAGCTACAAATCAAATTTCAAGATGAAAATAGAAAAAAATTACAAATCATTTGAATGTGCCATTTAAAGTAAACTGGGGTTCTCAACAATGCAGAGTTGGATTGCTTGAATCTTATCACATGTAATAGGCTGATGAACATATTTTCCTAGGTACTGTAGTTTTTGAGGCAAGACATTTCTAATCAAATTCATATAAGATGTGATATGGTAAAGCTGTTGTTTTTGTGTCCATCTGAGTGATATTTTACCTTTGCCTACAGACTGTTAAGGAATCAGTCAACAGAATATGATTTGAATAACACTACAGTACAAGAGAAGTTTAACTATAATCCACCCTAACATTAAATACTGAATAGACCTTTTTATCAATACAGCAACCATCTTAAAATGAGTCTTGGATACATCACTAACATTTTGTTGAAGTCATATCGTGGTAAATAATAGGATATACCATGCTAAACCATCGTAAATTTGTTTTTTTACAACAAAAACACTGAAAAGACTTGAAAAAAAGAACCAGTTTAAAGGACGCACCGCCTCTCTACATTATGTTGCTGACATTTTGTTGGGATATCCTTCTATATAACATATTATCAAAACTATAGCATTTATTGATGGCAACACAAATTATTCACATTACAATATAATTATTATTATTTGAAGTTTTTTTGCTGAAGGATACAAGTTTAGACTTGTTATTAGGATCTTTGGATTTCATCTTGTCAAGTGATTTAAGTTTTGCTAGTTCTTTGTCTCTGGCAGTTATTGCTCCTTTAGCATAATCCTTGGCAATTTTACAGTTGGTAGCATAAAATGACAATGGTTGAGCTACCTTTCCATGCAGAAAATTGACCTGCAATATTCAAATAAGAAACAGTCCATGTAACTTAATACAGAACATCTTTTTGAACATCTAGTAGGGGTTTATGCAGCCCGGTCTTATAAAAACATGCAATAGACCAAAATATTAGCTTTTGCATACTGTTTTCCCTTTTTAGACCAATTGTCATTCCCTTGAGAATAAGATTCTTTGTTTGAGTTGTATCCATRWTCATGTGTCTTCTCATGCACGACCAATAAACAAAGAAATAGTATTCTAGAGAATGATACTTGGTCTGAAATGGCTAAAGAAATCAATTGCTACGTTTCAATCTGCAGTTGGTAAAAATCTTTGAATCTAATTATCTGTTCAGTGGAGAAATTCATTCCTTAGGGTATAATTTCTTTGTTTAATGGTTGTGCAAGACACAATTAATATGGATACAACTCAAACAAATAATAGTTTTCTCAAAAGAATAACAAATAGTCTGAAATGAAAAAATATATATGCCTAAGGTAAAGAGGTTTATTGGTCGGAACAATTTCAAAATTCTGAGTCCATTATGCATAACAACAAATAGTAACTAACCTCAGCAGTGAGATAGTCTTGCATAGTGGCAACACATTCAGATACATTTTGCATAGCATTCCTAACTGATGGATACTCCATATCAGCATAGCTGTCAAGGCTTGAAGACAGCTTGTTTCCTTTTTCTTTCACTCCTTCCAATGAAGCATTGTAAGAAAGAACATCTTTGGATAAACTTGTAAAGTGTTTTTCTGCTAATGCTATTCTATCAGACACAATCTTGAGCTCATGATCCCTTAATATAAGAAGTAGTGATTAAATGGAAATTATTTACACTGCTAGTTGTGTATTATTTTACAATACAGCCGAATAAAATTTATTTTGCATTAAATAGTACGAAATCATTGGTGGATCCAATACAAAAGAACTTTGGTCTGAATAACCATGACGGATGTACATGTACCCTCTTCCCCAACAACAATTTCCAGGGGAGGGCTAGGTGTGAAGTTAATTCTTTTAAATGCACTTTCTCGTACATTGCAAATAATCAGGTAAGTTAAATACTGTCCTACAGTGTGACTACCAACAAAGTGGAAATAAAATAAAGACCACCTATTTTTCAACATGCACAAAATAATAAGACAAGTGGTCATAGCAACTTAGCCTAAAAGTCAAGCAGCTTAGAAGTAGGCCGGGAAGTTGTCATGACTACATCCCTTGTACGTCTAAAGATCTCTAGAGTTTGTTTTTGTGCGTATTTATCTTTCAGTATCTTTATGAATATAACTGTAATCAACCTAGCATCCTATTACCTTGCTCTTGCTTCCATTCTTGACTCACTGGCTGAAGAAGACGAAGCGTTTTTCATGGCGAACAAAAAAATCACGTTAAAAGTTACCTTAGGAATTTACTGATTAAAACAACTTTTCTACTAAATTTACGTTTGAAAAAAGTTAACTTATCATGTCCTTAACTCTCCTTCTGAAAACTAGGAGCCTAAATGCTGATATTTTGTCATAAAATGGAAAATAAAAACAACAAAAAAGTTAGTCTAAAACTTGAAACTACCACCTGAGCCTGTGATGTCTTGAGTCAGTGATGTCAACTGTTGCGCATGCCTGTTACGTCCCAACCTGTCGTCCCTTCAAGATTTCCACTGTGGAGAAGTTTAAAGTGTTTCAACATTAAAATTCGAAGCAAAATAGCTCGAAAATAAACGCTTCTGCCTGGTGGATATGAAGAATAGATAGCAAGGAAGGGAACATTGCAAGTAGGGTGACATTTGTTGCTCGTAACAGCTGTTTTTTGGCCAATAACCTATCGTCATGAGTTCACGTGGTAAGTCGATCGCCATCTTGTTTTCCTCTGCCGATGTGTCAAAATTATTTCTTATTTTATGTGAGATCTTCGGATTGATTGATGATTGTTGTTAATAATCTGCATTTTCATGCTTTTCTTTTCCTCCTGGATCTGTTTTTTTCCCTCTCAACAATTTTGATTTCCTTTGATTGCAAAGTTGAGGCAATATTTCATCGAGAGTGTTTTATAAGCTTTATATTATTGCATAGTGTTGTTTAATAACTTTAATACTTCAATTCTGGCAAATGTTAGCACTTCAAGAGAAGATTCTTAAAACATCTGATTCTAAGAATTCATTCTTCAATTCAAAAGAACTAATAAACAAGCACCAGATTTTTTTCTTCAAAAATCCAATTACGATTCGACTGTACTATCGGCGTAATGAATTAAATGATTCGGAAGTCGAATTCAATCGAATGCAATCACATGATTGAATTTGAGAGGCAATCAAACGAAAACGAATGCAAAAAAATGTGAATTTGATTGCATTTGATTTCAGTCTTTATATTGTATAGTGTTGTCTGTCAACTTTAATATTTCAGTTCTTGTAAATGTTAGCACTTCAAGAGAAGATTCTTAAAAGATCTGATTTTAAGAATTCATTCTCCAATTCAAAAGAACTAATGAACAAACACCAGATTTTTTTCTTCAAAAAATCAATTACAATTCGACTACAGTCAATACTGGCGTGATCAATCAAATGATTTGGAAATTGAATTCAATGGAACACAATCACATGATTGGATTCGAGTTGCAATCAAACGAAAACGAATGCAAAAAAAAAAAAAGGGAATGTGATTGCATTTGATTTCAATCTACGCCTCCTGGATCCACTTCTTGGTTGTAGGGAAATGCTCTACTGCTATGCCACCCTTGTACTACTGTGTAGTAATAAAGTGTACCATTGTTGATAAGTGGTGTAGTGGGTTTTTAACTTCTAAATTCATTTGACAGACTACTGGGGTCCTGGACCCCCTCCCAGAAGAGCAGTACCTGCATGGGATCAGTATCATGACATGCCTACTTCGCATTATGAAGAGCCACCAAGACCACCTCCTGATAATTATTATGAAGTTCCACCCCCACCAGGGCCACCACAGTTCTATGAGGATGATTCATGGCATCGTGATGCAAGACCTCATTACTTACCTTCACCTCCAATAAAGAGACCACCACTCAGAGGGAGCTTTAGGGGAGGAAGAGGAAGAGGAGGAGGAAGAGGAAGAGGAGGAGGAAGAGGAAGAGGAAGAGGGGAAGGTAGTGCAGGAAGGGGACAAAGTAATGGTTCAAATCCATCAGCTAGGAATGACACTGGGTTGAAAAATAATGCCTCCACAGGGGTTCATAACTCTTCTAGTGGTACACCAGTATGGATGACCCAATCTAGCAATCAAGATAAAACAAGCGTCTCCAACTCCTCTTCAGACAACAAACCAGCATGGCTAACAAGCACCTCCAACTCCTCTCCAGAGAAAAAGCCTGCATCACTTACTCAGTCACCATCACAAGCAAACACTAACACCACTTTAAAGTCTACACCAGCTTGGTTGAACCAACCAGGAACTGAGTCTAACAGTAATACCACTAATGCTAGCGGGAATATGCCTGCCTGGCTTTGTGCCCCTTCAGCTGACAACAAAAGTGTTACTACAAGTTCTTCACCTATGATGCCCACATGGCTACAATCAAACAATATTAACAACCAAGCTATTACAACAACAAGCCAAGTTACTGCTGTCACCCCAACAGATACAACACGCTCACAATCACCACCACCACCACCACCACCTTCTTATCCACCACCAAAAAATCAACCCAAGATTCATCCTGTGCCAAGTCATTCAACTTCTACACAAGTACTCCCAATGCCTACTTGTGGACCTCAGGTGACCAAGCAAAAGAATAAAGCCAAAAGTAAAGCATTGGCTGAAGTGAAAGGTACTTAGTACTGTACATATAAGAAAATCAAGGGTGGTGTTGTAGTATTAGTAGTAGTGCACTCACACGTCACCTCTGTATATTAGGTTTGATTGATCCTGGACTCGGCATTATTGTGAACAGAATAGTTTGTTAGGCCTTTGTGTAAAGTAAAATATTAAAGGTGGTGTGTGGAATGAGCATAGAAAAGCTTGCACATATAACAAATAAAAATGAATTTCATTTTATTTATTTTTTATTTATTTATTTTTCTAGTTGCAGCACCAGGAGAAGCCAATTTTATCTCATTCAAAAACAGTTTACAAGAATACAGCCAGAAGAAAGGATTTCACGTTCCAGTTTATCACACTTTTAAGAACAGCTATGGCCAATCAGCAAAAGTAGAGGCTGCACAGAAGACATTCCAAAGCAGTGGAGTTCAAAAGGATAAAAAAGAAGCAGAGCAAAATGCTGCTTATGAGGCTCTTAAAGCTCTTGGTCTGCTGGCTGCAACAGTGCCCTTTACTAGTACCAGTAGTGTCAAACCAGGCAGTAAGTATGGTGTATCGACTGGGGTATTACAGTTTAATCACTACAATTCCAAGTAGAATGAGGCAGTTGTAATTTTTTATCTGTTCTTCGGTCATGTGGTGTAAAAAACATGTTCTTCCACATGATGCCATGGTGCAACATTGGCATCATGCAGAAGATTTGAAATGCAATTGCAGTTAACATAGGAGACGCTACAACGGTGATTAAAAAATCACAACTGCCTCAGTCTACTTGGAACAAAAACCTGCCCTCCTGGTTATAAGCCTTGGGTTTATTTATATTCTTAAGGATTTTTTGATGGGCTTATGACCATGGGGGCTTAGTACTGGAAGGGAAAAAAGTATGGGGCAAGAAGATAATGTTTGTTTGTTTCTTTTCCCCATCAATCCTCTATGTGTCATCAACATCATAAATTAATATAAAATGCAAATGCGCTTATCAGGAGGGGGAGGGGGTACTTATGACTGGAAGGATATGCATTAGCAGGGGAAGGGGGCTTGTAAGCAGAATGTTATGGTATTTGTTTGATATCACAGGCCTTTATTTAAAACATACACACTTTCTTATTGTGCTTTAGTAAAAAGACCACCACAGCCAACACCTCAAACAGTAGCCAAGAAACTCAAAGGAGAAATCCCAACTTTCAACAACTCCACCAACTACAAATGCCAGTTAAATGAATTTTGTCAGAAGTTTCACCTCCCAGTACCCACGTATGAGACAGCGCATGATAATAATGGCTTCATGACTACATTGGTGTACAACAAAAAGGTTTATCTATCAACCAGTCCACAGTCAACCAAAAAAGCAGCTGAACAGAATGTGGCACAGTTGGTGCTCAGTAAAGTCAACCAGGCGCCTCCTCCAATGGATCAAAACCAGCAATTGATTCTACAGAATTTTGTAGCTGCATCATCTGCAAAACCTGAGCCAACTACTATCGCAAGTACTACTGCAAGTACCACTGCAAGTACTACTGCGACTACACCAGGTATTGAAAGCTAAGGACATTTTCCTGCTTTTGCAGGTTTAATAAAGAGGAYTGATTTGGGTTGGTCTCACTAAGTTGCTGGCTTTAAACATACATGCGTGCATGGGCAATATTTTGAGATTTTGTTACATTGTTATATGTATTGGGTCTATTTCTCATGTTACTTACATTACTTGTGCCTGGATTAGATTTTATATGACTGTAAAACAGTCAGTAGTCCAGTTTCGAGTTCTCTGTTGCTCAGTATTAGCTGTTCATTTTGTGTAGAATATTCACATATTACAGTAAAATTCAGGGGAATTTCAAAGTGTTTGTGTTGTTGAAGTTGTGCATTCTTTAGTTTACCGTTGGTATTTGTGAAACTCTTACACTGAAATGTGGTTAATTGTGCTGAGTAAATGAGTATATGATCAAGAAAACCAGTAAAACACCTTTCCTGAAGTCACTAGATTGACCATAAAACAATGGTTCCCTGTCAAGGTTGTACTTGATAAATACAGTAAATACAGGGGTCTATTGATGGAAATTGATTTATGGTCATTTCCTCAGTGGCCTGGATATTTCTCTTTTTTCATTTTCGACTCCCCTTATTTTTGTTGCTTTGACAGAGCCTCCCAAACCAGAATCAATAGCAGTGAGCTCAGTACAAGATCTTACCGCCAAGAACATCACCCCAATGATTTCTTACAAGAACAAACTACAAGAAGTATGCCACAAGAAAAAGACATTCCTACCTGTCTATGATACCATCAAAGATGGCCATGTATATAACTGTAAAGTAGCTATTGACGGAAAAGTTTTTAATGCAACGGGATGCAAGACGAAAAAGGGGGCGGAACAGAGCGCTGCTCGTGTTGCTCTGCAGGCTTTAGGCCTTATAGATTAGAAATAGTAGGATTGAGCTGGTTTGAACACTTTATAGTTTATAGACTTTGTAATTGACGTTCGGTTTTAAATTCTGGATCATTAAAATGAAATATCACGAAAACGACTCATTGCTTGTGTAGTGTCGTCTCAGAGCTATTGATGGTTTTCAACCATTCCCAAGAGAATTAAATAACAAAAGACAAGGCAGCCATGTTGGAGGACATAACAAAAGAATTCATTGATAATTCTTTTAAGTTCCTCCAAAATGGCTGCCATGAAAACCATCAATACAATTATGCCCTATGTGACGTAATACATAGCATATTACGTTGTCACATGATATATCGTACAGTATACATTGTAATCATAGTATCATATATCATCTATTAGTATGAATAAACTAAAGTGATACCTCAGTAAGTGGACATCATGCAATGTCCTGAAGGTATTGCATTCAGCATGCATCCTAACGTAAGGGCTATGTTAGTGACTGATAATGTTCCATGGCAATAGTCTGCCACTTTCTCTTCAGTAAGACTATTGCCATGGAATCGAGAGTGGATAGAATTTGAAAATTTGAAAAACTTCTACGATGAAAAAGCCTAGTCTATCCTGCAGGCTAACGTGCACGTACTGATTCACACACCCTGACCAGCCCCTTCCTCATAGCAGCCCCTTCTCAAGGTAGCCCCTTTTCATGACAGCCCCTTCTCATGGCAGCCCCTTCTCATGGCAGCCCGTTTTCAAGGTAGCCCCTTCTCAAGGTAGCCCCTTCTCAAAGTAGCCCCTTCTCATGGCAGCCCCTTCTCATGGCAGCCCCTTCTCAAGGTAGCCCCTTCTCATGGCAGCCCCTTCTCATGGCAGCCCCTTCTCANAGCCCCTTCTCATGGCAGCCCCTTCTCATGGCAGCCCCTTCTCAAGGTAGCCCCTTCTCAAAGTAGCCCCTTCTCATGGCAGCCCCTTCTCATGGCAGCCCCTTCTTATGGCAGGCTTAATGCACAACTGCGCAGTGCACGAACAAAGTCCTTATACATTAGTCCAATAGGACATTTGCATTATGGCGTCATTTGACTCCCACTACCATGATGCTTCGCGAATTTTCTTTCTTATTTAAATTTATATTTCCTCATGAGGTCAATGACGCCATCATGCAAACGTCCTATTTCATCTAGTACACTCTTAGTCGTTTCCATGGCAATAGTCTTACTGAAGAAAGCGCATGGGACACTCAATGAATATCATCATCCCTTTCTCATGGCAGCTCCTGGCTTAATGCGCAACTGCGCAGTGCACGAGCAGAGCCCTTATATTAGTCTAATATTATTTAGTACAATCAGCCGTTCCCATGGCAAAAGTCTTACTGAAGAGAAAGCGACGGACACTCACTGAATCATTATCTCTTGATCACAAATAGATTTTCAGTGTTTTCTTCGTATGCTTAATATGAGTGTAATCCAACAAGATAATTTTGTCTTTGATTACGCTTTCCGACACGAACCCTTATACAAATCGTAATCAAAGTAATGGTTCTTATCCTCCGAAAATGACTAGCTGTCAACTGTGTTTAAACAAGGAAAAGTCTCTGAATGGATCGAGTAATAAGTCATATCTCATAAGATCATTTCCAAGGGTAATTGTTTGCTTAGACAAAAGTAAAGAAGCTTATTGATATGAAAGTTGAGCGTCCTCGAAGTCTTGCAATATCGTTTGAGTCGCCTGGCAACAAATTTAATTACAGTATTGTGGAAGAAGCCAAGCTTGATTATATGAATTAAGAAGATTAGTAAGGCCAAAATCAAAGTGCTGAAATAAAGAAATGATTTTAGAGAACTGCAATTTTATATTCAGGATTGTTGAAAAAAGGTTTCTGTGTGCATACAGTTTGATAATAAAAAGGAATAACAAAAACTTTAGACTATCATTATGTTGATTAATGGCGCGCGCTCTTAAAAAAACATTCGGGAAAATGGCGTGAGCAGGGCCGTACAGCTTTGAGAAAGCAGGGCCGTACGAATCCGTATTGACATAATTTGTAACATTCAAAATATCTTTTTTATTTAGGGTCACGCATATGATAAAATGCTTATTGACTTAGTTAGGTCGGACGCTGCGCTCGGTCCGTACGGTATCACCTCGAGCCAAATATCTTCCCGTACGGCCCTCGCACTCAGTCAATAAGTACATAATCTAAACTCTCGTGATTTTCCTGGATTTTAATATCTTCAATTATTATGAAACCATGTTTTAGAAATCATATCAAATAAGATACAAATAAACCTTTATTTATGGTGGGTGAAGAAATCCTGCATGATTACTGGTTTGTAATTGGGCGACCACTTCATTTTGGCATATTCTATGCATATATTTCCCCAATCACATGTTGATTTTCGCAAAGCAAAATCAAGTGACAAAGGAGAGAACAACACATCAAACAAAGTATTTTCTTCAATTGCTCTTAAGCTATCGAGGCCTCTCGGGGAAGCTTTGTTGCCATTTAACAAAAGATTTCTCATTAGCATCTATTGATAACGGCACCAAAATGGCGATCTTGTTTTTTGTCTTTTTACTTTTTTAGAAAAGCTTGCAACAAATCAATTCATAAAAATGACAAAAATGGCGGCTGCATGTTGCGCAAACAATATTAAAGGCAGAAAGCGGACGACCGGCAGTGAAAAGCGCCTCTGAGATCCACTGTGGATTAGAGGGGAGTGAGTTATAAGTTATTCAACCATGTTGGAAGATGTTCCAAACAAACCAACGAGAACTAAGTTTTTCGCTAGCTTGAGGTGCGTCGGGCTTGACATCAAGTTAAGAACGGTTGTATATTTTTAGAACACGGGGATATCAGTCTGCTATTCAAAGACTTAGACTATATGTATATTACAAATGCACCACAGTGGGTGTTATGGGGACACCACGAGTCAAAATTAGAAGTATAGTAGTGTTTCTTAGCTGGGCGGTATCTTTAAATTGAGGTTTGTTTTACAGTAAATATGCACAGAAGAAGATTTCGGGATCGTGCAACTAGCTGTCGTCCCTTTAGTGAAGGGTGTCCAGTGAATAGAAGTAATTGTTTATAACAAACACGGAGAAACTGAAAATAATAAAGGATGTCCACTTAATGGAGGTTTGACAAGAAACGAGACCATATAGCAGGATGTATTTTTTTGATTTTGATTAAATCATTTGTGTATGATTCAAGGTTCATTAGTGTCCATTTGACTGATTGAGATTTCTTTCCAAAAATAATTTCCATTTTAAAAGCTGCCCAATATGACGCCTTGGTACTGAAACAATTCTATGGCATCATAATATAATCTATAGAATTCTTAGACAATAATGCATCTCTCAAAGGAAAAAAGCTTGTTTGGAAGCTCATAAAAGTTATTAGTGGAACGAAAGGGCTCCCTACCCAAGTTTGAAAAAAATAGTTGTATTTTATAACTGTCATGCCTTGCCCTAGCTGTCGTTACCTTTTCTATCCATTCTGTTCTATATAAATCTTGGCTCTGAATCTTAATTACGCAATACTACCTTATCAAAAAGTCTTTTCAAAATCTTTATGACAGCCCATAAAAATGATTACTACGAACACAGTGCCTATGCTTTGCTCTGCCCTCCCTTTGGTCCTTGTCTTCCCTTTTTCTCTATCCCATTCAATTCCCACTTCTCATAAGTCCCATGTGCATCTAAAACTAGCTGTCGTGCTCTTCAAAATCCATCCACCGAGCTAGTCTTAAATCTATTTGTCTTATCCACCAGATCTATCGGACAATGAACTAAAACTAACATTCATATCAACAAATAATAGTTATCCAATAATCTAGTTATTGTGTTAACAGACTTATCTCATGTCATAGTCGGAGATTTCCGATAACTATCATACTTACATATCTTGACATTTAATTCAATTTTTTTAGATTAATCCCAGACTAGAATATTTCAAATCGTCTTAGCCGGCTCAAATTTGAGTGGACAGACGTAGAGTGCACTGCCACGAGCAATGTTTGCTTGTGCTAATGCAGTTGAATTCGGATTCATTTCTAAATTAAGGGAAAAAAACATGTCTTATCCGGCCCACATGTCTGCGTGTCTCTAACATACATTTCAATATCTTTTTATCTTTATCATGCGTAATGTAATGCCTTTCAGCGCGGGGTAAAAGCGTAAAAAAAAATTCCCTTCCAGATAATATGGCTGCTTTCATTCAGTAACACTACAATGTGGCTTAAGAAAGGTCAGGAAACTAAAAGAAAGGGCTTTTTAAACATCATTTTGCTTCCTAAGAAAGGCGAATGTAACATGTTGTCCGGGATGACCTGGGGCCTTCCACTCGACGATCTGACGCATGGAACAAGGGGCGTAAGAATGCTAGAGAGATATTGTATGCTCGCACGTTGTCTTTCATCCATTCGTTCTTTCAATCAGTCATTCATACATTCATACATCCATTTTTTTATTCATCTATCCGTTCATCCACCAACCCATCCATCCATCCATCCATCCGTCCGTCCATCCGTCTCTCTCTCTCTTTCTTTCTTTCTTATCTTTTTATTCCATGCCAGACATATAATCATCATGCTTATAAATGTAATATCTCTTGTTTTCCATACAGGCGCGACAGTAATAACTTCAATATTCCTCATCTTATCACGCTTCACTTGCATTCACCATTCAAACCTAGATATTAAGGCTTTGTTTTCCAAGACCACTGCGGTGATCATATTTCCGCGCGTGGTCACCCTGTGGCAGGTTTTACGTAAATATTTGATCTTCCGTACGTCAGTCAACCCACATAACTTCTAAAGCACCTCGTAGGCGTAAATTTCCTCTTGATTGCTTCTTTCATCTTACAATAATCACTCAAAGGAAACAGTCTATCAATAATAATGAAATTTTAAGAAGAAGCAAGCGCCTAGTGGTAGTTGGAAGAAAAACAAAGTCGCGACCGAGCGTGGGAGCGCGCTGAATTATGGATATATTCTAAAAATGGAGACTGTGCGAGTATTGGAATTAAGTAAGAGTCATGAAGCAACGCACGGATATCCTCTATCAGATGGATCGGATTTATCAGTTTTCTTGATCATTAAAGGGTTTACCTATAATGGTTTCACATGGTTTTGT